TTCCCTTCCTCCTAGCCAACTTCACGTTGCCTGACGTAGGCGACTTCCTAGATGAGGTTCTGTTCATTGAGCTTCAGCGGGAAGAAGCAGACAAACTGGTGAGGCAGTACAATGAGGAAGGCCGCAAGGCTGGACCACCCCCTGAAAAGCGCTTTGACAACCGAGGAGGTGGCTTCCGGGGCCGTGGCGGTGGCGGTGGTTTCCAGCGCTATGACAACCGAGGTCCCCCTGGAGGCAACCGAGGTGGCTTCCAAAATCGAGGAGGAGGAAGTGGTGGAGGAAACAACTACCGAGGAGGTGAGACATGTCATACAGCTCTCCCTTGGGTTGGGGTTGCATTTTGAAGACTGTTCATTTAGTGCTGAAACTTACTGAGCTTCAGATTAGGACTTTAAAGAAGCTCTTCCTCTAGCCCATTACCCTGGCCTTACTACTGAAACCCTTTGTCCATTCACATGTCACAGTGCTATTTTTTAGGCCTTCCTCTGCCTCCATGAGGTCCTTGGGAAATGGAGTCCTTGGGGCCCAGGTCAGGACCTAGCACAAGGCAAATGTTAGAACTGGATTTTGGTTTTAAAGTGAATGAAGACACAGCTTTAGAGGACTTTATGTACCCACGATCACCTAGCTAAATCCAGTGCTGGGATTCAAATGATCTTAAAGCCCCATGTTCTTCTTAAGTAAAGTAAATTGTGAACAATTTAACAAACATGTCCTGTGCCCCACTCTGTTTCAGTCGAGTGCTGGATAGTTCTGGGTACATAGCCATGACCCAAATAGCTTAATGGGCTAGCTCAGGTGAACCCTAGCAGACTGTAGGAGGCAGCAGGGCTCAGGAAAGGCCTCCTGAGGAACTGAGGTCTAAGCAAAGCACCTCAGGTCCAGGAGGAGTTGGCCTTGGGAGAGAGTTCCAGGCCCAGAAAACAATACAGGCACATGAGTGGGCATCCCACTTGGCCACACTGGAAGAGGACCAGATCCAACTTGTGTGTGTCTGCCCAGTGCTTACCATCATTGTTTGAACATCTTTTTCTAATTTGCTGAACAACTCTTGAGATGGTCAGATGGAATGGAAACTTCTCCTTTACCTCTCCAGGCTCACAGTCCAGGGGATAAAACAAATATGTCAGCAGATAGTGATGACCTAGAATAGTCAGGGTGGGACAAGGGGAGTGTCTTGGGGTCTAGAGAAGCCAGATATATTATATGTTCACTTTAACTGAGCTCCTGTTCCTGCTCAGTTAAAGTGCAATGTGGCCACAGCAGCCATAAGGTAGCCCAGTCCTGAGGTAGCATACTGAGAATGATGGGGCCTCTCATCTGGATTTCTCCAATGCAGGTTTCAACCGCAGTGGAGGCGGTGGCTACAACCAGAATCGCTGGGGAAACAACAACCGGGATAACAACAACTCTAACAACCGAGGCAGCTACAGCCGGGCCCCCCAACAACAGCCGCCACCACAGCAGCCACCGCCACCACAGCCGCCGCCACAGCAGCCGCCGCCACCACCCAGCTACAGCCCTGCTCGGAACCCTCCAGGGCCCGGCAGCTATAACAAGAACAGCAACATCCCTGGCTCAGGCGCCAATACCAGCACCCCCACTGTCAGCAGCTACAGCCCTCCACAGGTGAGGGCATGTGCACACATTTGCACTCAGATGTGCACATAGTTATTAAACCTGAGCAAGTGAGAGGAAGCAAGTGTAAGGCAATCACTGATGCATGTTTGGTTCTACTTGCCCTTCCCCAATGTACTCTAGAATTGCCAGATCACTTCTCAACCTAGAAATAAATTGATTGTGTCTATAACCTCCCACTCCCCCCACCCCAGGCGTAAGTTGTAAGCCTCAGTACCTCCAGCACAGGTACATCTGTCATGGCTGTGTTGCTGGCCTCATCTGAATCCCCAAGAAAGCACTCAGGTGGAGTCATCTCTTGTCCTACTGAAAAGGACTGTGTTTCTTTGTCCTCAGGAGTAGAGACCAGAGATCCAAAGACTGCAGGGACGTGTCTTCTCCACCAGGAGCTTCATCCCTGAGCAGCTCTGGACTCTGTTTCAGGTCTTAGAAAGTTATCAGTAGGGCTATGGTACACAACCTGCTAACCAAAGTAGTCTCCATTCATCGTCCATCCATTTCCTGGGCATCTTTCATGTGCCAGGCCTGGGAACAGCTAGCCCACTGGTGATTCCCAGATTCTAATCTACCCAGAAAATTTACTAGACACAGGAGTTGGGCAGACATGACTTGAAACTTTTAGCCCCATAATCTCCAGGTTTTGTGATGCTGACAGTCATCTTCACCTTTCTGGGTCTCATTTTCCCTGTAAAGAACTAAAGATATTAGTAGGACATTTCTGAGATTTGTTGTAAGAGTTGGTTGCACTGTGTCTTAGTAGTTAAGGCTCTGTGAGTAGGAAAATCCAGAGGTTGGTTGGTTTTAATTATATAGCCTTGGCTCAACTATTTCACCTTAAGTCTCAGGTTCTACTTCTACAGTGGAGCTAATGAACTTTACCCTAAGAGTTTTGACATGTATTTTAAGTCATTTTCCATTGCTGAGAGAGAATAGTTGAAACACACAACTTAAGGAGAAGTTTATTGTTTTGGCTTACCTGTTCACTTCGTGGCACATAGGGAAAGCAGAGAATCAAGGTAGGAGCTGGGGAGATAAAACACTTCAGGCCACATACCCAGTAACTTGTCTCTTCTCACCAAGTCCCCATAATGCACCTACCTGTGAGCACATGTTTGGTGGGGGGTACTAAATATAAACCCTAACTGAAATTAAATGAGTTTATAGTACAGCCTGTACATGAAAAGTACTTCACAGGTTGTCACCACAGTTTCTCAGCAGATGTTCACAGACAACTACCATCATTTATTAAGCACTGGTCTTTTGTACACAAAAGCTCTGAATACAGTCAGAAAGGGCCAGTTTGTTGTGATTCTCATTCTACAGAAAATGAAACTGAGATGCTAGCTGTGTAACTCACTGCTGAAGTATTTGCCTAGTACACTGGATTTGAACTGTAGCACTGCCTTTTTTTTAAAGAGGTTCCATGTATCGTGCTTCTTTGCTGTCTCCACTGGGATTAGAGTCCAGACTGACCCTATGTCTTTCTCTTCAACTTACTTTGTTATACCATGTCAGAGCTGACTAACCTCCTTGCTCCAAACACTTCCACCAGGGAAGTATCTTTTTGGGCTAATGGCTCACAAAGGCCCTTTCTCCATCCCAGTTGTAAGCTGGCTTTTTCAGAGTTGTCTTTTTCTCCATTTTCCAGCCAAGTTACAGCCAGCCACCTTACAACCAGGGAGGTTACAGCCAGGGCTACACAGCCCCACCACCTCCACCTCCACCACCACCTGCCTACAACTATGGAAGCTATGGTGGCTACAACCCAGCCCCCTATACCCCACCACCGCCTCCCACTGCACAGACCTACCCCCAACCCAGCTATAACCAGTATCAACAGGTAGGTAACAAGGCACTGGTGAGGTGGGGAGATTCTCAGGGGCCCTTCCTCAGTTTGTATTTCCAAACTTGCATTAAGGGTGATCCAGCGTGCTTGCACTAGTTTTTAAATAACTTTGTCTACCTTGTCTGCAGTGCGGTGAGCAGAAAGGGGAAAGGCTGGCAGAGAAAGGCTTCCAAATCCTGCTTCAGCACCATGGCCAGGGTGCACTGAATGCAGGCCACCTTACCTGGTGGTTTTATTTTTTTGTTTTAATTTGGAATATGATACTTGAAAGGGCACTGGGTTGATTTCTCTCTCATTGGACTCAGGTGTCTGTGCTTGTCGCCCATTTCTGCCTGAGATAAGGGTGGGCCAGGGGAAGAATTACATGTGGGATGGATAGAGGACAACTTTGTGCTTTTGGTGTCTTTTCACAGTATGCTCAGCAGTGGAACCAGTACTATCAAAACCAGGGCCAGTGGCCACCGTACTACGGGAACTACGACTATGGGAGCTACTCCGGCAGCACACAGGGTGGCACAAGCACACAGTAGTAGCCACTGTGTCAAGAGGCTCTTGGAGGCCCCTGCCGGCTTCCTCCACCAGCGCCTACCTTGGCCCCTCCTCTACCCCCACCAGGTCCTCTGGTGCTGGAGTTGGGGTCATCCCAGGGCTGCTTCCCTTCAGCCCACTGCCTCCCCTCTGAGGGGCTTCTTCCCACACACAGCCAGGCATTTTTCTCTGAATTTAAACAGGCCACAGTGACCTTTTATTTTCTGTTTGTATCTCCCACTTCCTCTTCCGTCTCATCTCCATTTTGACTAAAGAATCCCTCTCCCTTCGTCACATGGTGAGGCCATGGTGACTGAAGGGAAGAGCTTTTCCTGTTCACTCCTCCCAAATCTGCTCTAGTCCCTCAGCTTCCCAGACCCTCATGCAGTTGGTTGTAAATTCTCCCAGAAGCTGTTTTACTGTCTACTTTTCAGGATTAAAAACAAAATCAAAAATTTTTTTAAAAGTTTAAAAAGTAAAATGCAGAGGGAGGAAGCAGTGTCATATTTTTTGGTAATTATGCTTTTATTTTTTATTTTTAGAACTTGTCTGTTTTTACTGTCAGTCCACCATTGATATTTCGTCAGAATAACCGTTTCTTTGCTGAGTTCAGATGACCGGGGAAGAGCCACACCCTCAAAACAAAACAAAACACAGAAAACCACAGAATCATCTTTAACCTAACTTTTTATATGATGTCTCAGTTCCCCGTAACTTTGCACACAAGCTTCTGTGTTCAGTTGAATTGTAACTGCTTTTTGTATTTGGAGAGAGTGTGACTATTGAACTTGAAACCTTTTATTCCAGGTGTCTTGGTAGTTTGTGGTGGGATTAAGCGGGTGAGAGGGTAAAAGGTGGGGGCTCCTTCCCCTTAGAATACAGTTTCCCCCAATGCACCCTCTTCAGGGCTCTCCCAGGAGCCAGATCTCAGTTTTTCCTACCATGATCCTCTGATTATTACTTCCCCTTGACCCGAATGTTTTAACAGGATTTTAACAAACTGCACTTAACTAAGAAATGTGTTTGCCCTGTTTTGTTTTCTTTCAATAAATGACATGGCACCTCCTTGTAGGAAGGAAGCAGGGTTAAAACCCTAAAGTGTAACTGCAATTGGCCTTTAATTGGGGTGGGAACTTCTGCAAGGGGAAATGATTTACTCATTTGTTAAACACTGAGGGAGTTGTGTTCCTGTCCCAGATTTTAGTGCTAAGGATATCCCTTTAACCGAAAGCTCCAGTTTAAAATATAGTAACGGGGAGATTTGCTTTGCTTTCCTTTGGCTTCTTGAGACAAAGTGTTCCTATGTAATTTTTGGGTTTTTTTTTTTTTTGTTGTTTTAGATTGGGTTTTTTTGAGATGGTCTCTCTTTGTATGGCAGGCTGGCCTTCAACTCCCTGTGTAGCTCAGGCCTGCTTCAGCTTCTTGAGTGCCAGGATTTCAGGCATGCACCACCAAGCCCAACTGATAGTTTTTTAAGTGGTCATCTGTCTGTCAGTCCCAAATCCCTTCAAGAATATCTTAGTAGAAGGCACCAAACAGGTCCTGTAGGCAGAGGGACAGGTGGGACCAGTGGGATAGATGGGCTGCTGTACTCAGAGCCGTATGTTGGCTGGTTGTGCAGCTCAGTCCTGCCCCAGGCTTATTGGACTTCAGGAGCTTCGTTACTAGTATGCTTTGGATGTCTTTTCAACTGTCCTGGACATTGTTGGAGGCGTAGTATGGCCAAGGTAGTCCTTTGTGGAAATCCTGGTTCTCTCAAAGCTCCCCCTCTGTAAGGATTGCACATCTATCGTCAGAAAGTAGCAGCACAGAGATGGTGAGAGGAGTGCTTCCTGGGAAGTAACAGGAAATGAGCTGTTAGTTGCACCTCCACAGCCTATCAACCTCTTGCCTTAGCAGCTTCGTTTTTTCCATTCCCTGTACATGGTGTTTTCTTGCCCTGGAGAGACAAATGCCAGGGTACAGGAGTGACAGAGCTCAGACCTCACATATGCCTCATAGGACCGCGGAACCTTGTGAAAGGGAGGAGTCAGGGTGATGGCGCATGCCAGGATGTTGAAGCAGGAGAGTATGAGTTCAAGGCCAACCTGAACTATGTAGTAAGACCCTGTCTCAAGAAAAAAAAAAAAAAAAAACTCAAGCTCTCATTTGGTGCATCTGAACATGAGATGGGCCCTGAGCAGCTAAAAGTGATCCTGCTTCAGAAAAGCTGCAGTGCTTCAGGACCTGTAGTCTTGAGATCTTTTGCAGCAGGTACCTACATTGGGCCATTAGTGCCCTCTGCTGGCCTTAATATGCCAATGTAGTTCCCACCTACAGGATGAAGCACACCCAGCTTTAGATCCTTCACATGGAGATCTCGTTCTGCCTGTTCTCAGCCAGTATCTGGATTATCATAGCTGCCTTCTCAGAGCTCTCCAGTCCGTTACCTTGATCCCTTGGTTCAAACCCTGTAGGACAAAGAAGCTCAAGCCATTTAATAAGGCTTAGGAGTCCCTGCATGGTCTGGTACCTGGTGACCTTGAAGGCTTTCACCTCTCCTCTGATCCATATTTCAGACTCAGATCAATGGTTCTTTCGTTTGAGAGTCAAATACTTTGTGGAGCATAAAAAATGTATGAATATCTGCTTTGTTCTTAGGATTTTATCTAAACACTAGTGAGACATCCGAACCCTTAAGAGCCCTATCATGGCCTTCAAGTTAGCACCCCTTTTTGCTCCCCAGCCATACTGAAGTGCTTGTCATAATCAGAATTATCCATGCCAGTTATCCTGAGGCCCTTAAGGGACTCTGCTTAGCAAGCCTTAGCTTAGGCTTCCCTTCCGGAAAGACATCTAGTCTAACCCAGACTGGAGTACCTAACCCTCAGACCACAAGCAGGTCCATCAGAGGTCTGGCCATTCGTTTGTCTTTACAGGCCTGGTCTGCTCTGCAAATCAGGACCAAAATTCTTCCTCTAAATGTGTGTTTAGCACCAGGTTGTGGGAACACAAAATGGTAAGTTCTATACTTGATTCCATCATCCATCTCCTGCCACCCAAGGACTGATGAGTTAAGGCTTCTAAATGTTGCTTGTAAAGAAAGTGATAGAATTCTAAAAATGAGCAAAACTTGAGTGATAGCTCCACCTCTTGGAGATTAGTTACTAGACCGCCTTTCCCCAATATTAAGCACATTAGGAGCTGCAGTAATAGCAGCGAACAAATAAACCACGGTTTGAGTCTCCTGGTTCTCCACGTTCAAGTAGGAGGTGCTAACTGCCTGCCTTTCTGGCTGAGGGTGGGGCCTCGAGAGATGCACGCATGCGCATAGGAAGATCCGGCGAGGAACCGGAACCTTAGTGCCCGGACGCAGTGGAGCATATGACTCTTAAAGCGCGCACAGACGGAAGTGGCTACTGAGTGCGTAGAGTCGAAGGTGGTGCGCTGGTCTCAGTTCGGCAGTTGACACGTCGGAGAGATTCAGGATGGAGGCGGTGGCGGCGAAGGAAGCGAAGGAACCCGACGAGGGTGAGATGTTGACCGCAGTCATAGCGAGTGGGTGCAGTTGCGGTGTCACCAAGAAATGGTTCCCCCGTCCGCGCTAGGTCAGGCGGGACATTTGCTCTCAGCCCCACCTGTCCTCTTCACCACTTGTCTGTTGCCGCCTCCTTTATTGCATCCTGACCTTCATTTTTTCCCCCTGAAATTAAGGTTTTCTCACCTCAACCCTTTCCATGTCCTGGGCTAACTCTCAAGTAAACACAAACCTCTTTCCTACCCTAGGCCAATACTCCCACGATCTCAGGCCATCTCTTCATCTCAGGTTACTTCCCTGTGACAAACTGAGCTTTCCCTTTTGCCAGGCTAGCCTTCCTATTATTCCAGCGACCTTCCTCCTATCCCATGCAAACTGCTTATTTCAGACTGACAAACCGCTCCACATTTCTAACTCCCCTTCCCCCAAAGTCCGCAATCCAGTCTGCCTCAAGTCCTTACTCCTTTTCTGTGATCTCCTTTGGCCCTCCCTTGCATCTTCAATGTTTTTCATTATTCTGGTGTCTTCTCATGAATATCTAATTTTTTTTCTCATTTTACAATTTGTCCGATTGCTCCAAAGTAATCTTATGTGGGATGAGATGTGGCTGAGAAGCTGTTTGAAACACCAGTGGGGCTGGGCATCTGCCAGTAATCGCCTCATTCTGTGAGAGGTTGAGGCAGAAGGATCACAAGTTTGAGCTTAGCCTGAGCAACTTTGAGATTGAGCACGACGGTGTCAGAATAAAAATGAAAAGAGGCTGAGTATTTTGCTCAAGAGCTGAGGCCCAGGATTTAATACCCAGTACTACACCATGGCTAGCTAAGAACTGGTCATCGTTGGAAGGGGACGCTGGGTATATGAATGTGGGGGAGGAGTACCAGCTCACCCTACTTTTGTGTGTATGAAATTTTTCATAATAAAATTTTATTGTTTAATTTTTTACTTCTCACTGCTGGAATGGAACCCAGGGCCCCACACATGCTAACCATGTTCTTAACCACTGAGTTACACTCGCAGTCCAATTGTATTTTCTGAACAAAAGAAAATTTTTCCCTTGGTCCTAAGCTGACTTCCAGACATTATCTGTCTTCTCCAAAGAGTCATGTTAATTTGTTTCCTCCCACCCACTGCAGTCTAGTTTTTTCCTTTAGAATTGCTGTTGTTAGGGTCCTCAGTGACTTATCCCCACTTGCAGTAAACAGTCACTCTGTCCAGTTTTCCTGCTAGATTACTTGGAGGACTCGATGTCATTGACCTCTCCATCCTGCCTGTAACTTTTTCCCTTAGTTTTGTGACACCATTCTCCAATTACCCTATTGTCTCTCAGGTGCCTCCTTCTCAGCCCATGCATTTATTTCTTCTGGCTGCTATAACAAATTATCATAAACTGGGTGGGCTTAAACATAAACAGGGTGGCCAGAAGTCTGAAATCAGTAGCACTGGGGCAATACCAATGTATTCCCTGGCTTTGGTACTGTATGTGCTCTCCTCTACTCCTTGCCTCTGCCAGCCAGTGATGGCTTCTAGAATTCCTGGCTCGTGGCCTCATGCCGATCTCTGCTTCTACCTTCATACTGCTTTCTGTTCTTTGTGTGTCAGCTCTTCCTCAGCCTTTTTTGTTTTTTTAGACAAGGTTTATGTTACCCAGATTGGGTTCTAACTTAGAGGCCTCCATAGGAGGCCAGGGTATATAACTTTGAATGAATGAATGGGAATGTAGTATAGATGAAGGCCCTGGGTTCAGTCCTCAGCACTGCCAAAAAAAGAGAAACTTGCAGTCCTCCACCTCCAGCCTCCCAAGTACCTAGGATTTCAGGCATATGCCACCATGCTGCTCTCAACCTCTTTTTAGAACTCTCGTAACTGGTGGCACTCTGAAGACTGAGACAGGAGGATCATATAAGTTTCAAGGCTAGTCTGGGCTACAGAGTGAGTTTAAATCTAGCCTGAACTGCATAATGAAACCCTATCTCAGAAAGACCCCCCCCCAAAAAAAAAAAAAAAAAAAAAAACACTTGCATCTAAACCACACCTGGATTATTCGGGATAATCTCTCCCATTTTAAAAGCCTGTGGAGACTCTTCCCCCTACCACCATTTACAGTAACTGTCAAGATTCCAGGGATGGAGGTGACCTTCACAAGCATATGCTTTCCCATCTGTGTGGTGTTTTTTCCTAGGCCCCCTACAATCATCTCTTACATGCCTTACCACTCTCACCTTCCCTACACCCACCTTTCATTTCCCTCTGCTTTAATTCTTGTCTTGGCTCTGATGACACCCACAACTCTGCCTCTCTCACCCGGCACTTCTTTCCTGAGCAATCTGTTGGCCTGTGTCCTAGCAGTCTCTCAGATACCTCCCCTTGAGTGTCCCCTGGCTCCCTCATACCTTCCATTCCCAAAACCAACCTTTGCATTTCTTTTACTGTCTCAGGAACAGTTTGATCATCCCCTAAGCCAGAGTCCTGGACCTTATGCTGGATGCCTCCGTCTCCTCTCAACCGCCAGCCTCGTGGTTTGCCCCCTCAGCTTCATGAGCATTTTCCCAGTTCTTCCTCTTCAGCCGCCCTGGCCCTCCTCCACAGCCCCTCCACAGCTCCACAGCCCTGCTCAGTGTTTTTTTCTTTTTTTTTTTTTTTTTTAATACTTTTAGTTTTTTTTTTTTTTTTTTTTTTTTTTTTTTGAGCCCTGCTCAGTCTTATCTCAGTGTTTGAAACCATGAGGTAGCCATTATCCCCCTGTCTCCTCCCTAATGTAGTTGTCTCTGCTCTCTGCCTTCACCTATTTCCTCCTCTTGCAGTTCCCACCACACTTGGAAAGCAACTCTCACCAAGATTTGCCTAGCTCCCACCTTTGCTGTTATCTTTGCTTGTATGATCTTTGATCTTGATTGTTTCTTACATCAAATTCGGTGCTCCTTGAGGGCAAGAGTCAGACTGAATTCTTCCATGAGTCCTCTGAATTGCCTGGCTCAGGACCTTGCATAGATTTAAAGTTGCTGAAGGACCAGGAATATAGCTTAGGGGCATAAGTGCCTGCCTGGCAAGCGTCAGGTCCTGAGTTCAGTTCCTGATACCAAAAAAATCAAAATAAAGTTGCTGAAGTGGTTGGTGTGAGTGTGTAAAACAGGAGAATGAATGAGTAAACAAACTAATGAATGTATTCCTAGGTATGTGAGTAAGAGAAAAGGCAAAGAATTGGATAAACAGTAAGTTAGTCTCCAGGGTCTTTACACTGGCTGTCCCCTCTGCCTAGAACTTACTCATTTGACAAGTCTCAATCCCTTCCCACCTAGATCTTTACTCAAATGTCACTTCTTTAGCAAAGCCTTCTCTGACTTTTTGTTTAAAGTTGCAGCCATCCATCATTCCCTATTTACTTTTTTTTTTTTTTTTTTTGCATAGCCAGGGATACACCTTACACAATGTAAGTTTTCAGTAATTATGTTATTAGTTGGCAGTGTTGCCACTAAAATGTCATTCTTTTCCTTACTGTGGTCTCTCTGGGACCTAGTACAGAGCCTAGAATGTAGTAGGTGATCAGTAAATGTGAACTGAGTGAGTGCCTGCCTCCTTCCTACCCATTTCCTTCCCCTTCCTCCACTCCCATCCCTTAACTAATTAATCTCCCCATTTCCAGGCTGCCTGGAGCCCAGATCTGGGCACTGGGGGGAGCTCAGCCAGGTATCAGTTCCATCTAAACCACAGGAAAAAGTGAAAGCAGCGGGGAGCACACCAGGGGCCCTGGACAGTGACGAGCCCAGAACTGAGAACGCAGCAGTCAATGCCATGCTGCATGCTGTGGCTGCCAGCCGCCTGCCTGTGTGCAGCCAGCAGCAAGGCGAGCCTGACCTGACGGAGCAAGAGAAGGTGGCCATCCTGCGGCAGCTGTACCACGAGAAGCCGCTGGTGTTCCTGGAGCGCTTCCGCACAGGCCTCCGAGAGGAACACCTGGCCTGCTTTGGCCACCTACGTGGTGACCATCGTGCTGACTTCTACTGCGCTGAGGTGGCTCGGCAGGGCACTGCCCGGCCACGCACCCTACGCACCCGCCTGCGAAACCGGCGCTATGCTGCCCTTCGTGAGCTCATCCAAGGTGTGAGGGGCTTGTGGGTGTGAGATGGAGAGGGAGGGAAAACTGAAGCAGAGATGGAAAGTTAGTGGGGCGGTGGAACAGAGGCAGAGGGACTGAGAAACAAGGATACAAAAGTGGAAACAGGACCTAGGAGAAAAGTTGTTTTCTGATTTTTGCTTTTACAGTACTTGGAATTGAAGGTCTTGCTAAATTGGATTGGCTTGAATTTGCAATCCTTCTTGTCTCAGCCTCCAGAGGTCTGGGATTATAGGCCTGCCCAGTTATAAAAAAAAGTTTTGAGATAAAGAGACAGAAACAGATAGGAGGGGCTGGAGGTTTAGCTCAGCGGCATAAGCACCTGCCTTGCAAGCAGGCAGTCGTGAGTTCGATCCCCGGTACCGATAAAAATGAAAAAGACAAAAAAAAAAAAACAGAAACAGATAGGAATGTGCAGGAAGGCAGCAAGAGATGTGGGTACAGGTGAGAACTGGAAAGGAGACGGGGTACACAGTGAGAAGAGATCAGAATTTAGGAGTAGACAAAAGTGGCCCATTTAGAAGTAGACTAAACACATAGAATACAGCATTGTGATAATTCATTGTCCTAATGGATCACAAGGTCCTGACCCCACAACAAACACCGTGGGCACCAGACACCAGTGGGAACCAAGTGAAATATGTTTATGGCCTTGAGTATGCAGAGACCTTCCTGAACAAAATGTGAAAACCAAGAAGAAAAACATAGGTATTTTTTTGACCTGGACATCATTGAAAACATCATGTGAAAAATCAAAGTTAAAAGATGAGGCAGAAAATGAGTTAAGTAAGTTCAGGGAACAAACTTAGAGAGATTGATACAGAAAGTGCAAGACACAGGCACAGATAGAGGAACAAGAGTGTGGTAGAGTAAGCTGACAAACACTAAGAAAGCAGGGAAAACAAATGGCTGAGGCAGGCAGAAAGATGGAGATACAGAAGAGGGAGAGAAACTGAGGAGCCCAAAAGGAGAGAGGGTTGTCACTACATTCCAGGGGACCTCTACTTTGTTCCGTGGCACCAGGCCAGACCCCAACCTGCCAGAGCCGGGAGGCAGGACAGAAACCTAATATGGTAGATGATTCAAAGATGGGATATGGTGAGGGCAGGACTGGGGAAGCCAACAGGGCAGGGAGAGTCACAGACCATAGTGCTGCAGTGGCCAGGATTATAGGAGGACTACAGGCCTGGGCTCTGAAGGCAGGCTAAGCTACTTGTGTGGGAGAGGCCGGGGGCAGGTTTAACTGTTATCCCCAGGGACAGAGCTGCTTCTGCAAGAACAGGCAGCCAGGAGAGAAGACCTGGATGGAGACACCAGCCCAGCTGAGGGAAGCTTCAGAGAGGAGCACTGGGGAAAGGTCCGAGCTGAGGCCTGCCATCTCCTGTGCACATATCCACATACAAGGCAGCCCAGCTACCATCAGGCACGCACACACACAGGCAGATGACGCCTCACCTGGCATTAGTGTGTGTACACATATGTCAGATACATGTGGGTGAATGCACATATGTGCCCAACAGTGCAGGCAAGTCTAGATGTGTATGCTGACAGCCAAACAAGCTCCACAAACAGGCACACACAACCTGCATACATGTACAGCCTGTCTGCTGTCCCACATACCAACTCCCAGACACACAAGTACCTGTAGGCAGCATGCCTACAGATACAGAAGAACATGTTTGTATATGCAACTGTGCACACACATCCTTGGACACATGAAATACACAGGCAGATGCAGACCTGGTCACATGCACATGATCAGCACAGGGGTAAGTACTCTTGTCCACATGACCTCAGGTGCCTGCACGTATTTCCCTCTGTATCTGAATGCATGCACACAAGTGTGCATGCACATGCATGTGTCCACCCAAGCATGCCCATGCAGCTCTCCTCTGCAGGGGGTGAATACTTCAGTGATGAGCAGATGCGGTTCCGGGCCCCCCTGCTGTATGAGCAGTACATCGGGCAGTACCTCACCCAGGAGGAGCTCAGCACCCGTACACCAGTCCCTCAGCCCCCTAGACCTGGCTCCCCCAGCAAACCCACCTGCCCACTCTCCGATCTGCTGCTTCAGTCCTATCAAGAGCGGGAGCTGCAGCAGCGGCTGCTCCAGCAGCAGGAGGAGGAAGAGGCTTGCTTGGAGGAAGAGGAAGAAGAGGAGGACAGTGATGAGGAAGGTGAGAACCAGCAGCAGAAACTGGATGCCTCCCACCTCCATTCCATGGCACCAGGCCAAGCCCCAACCCTCCATCCTTCAAGACCCTCCTGTCTCCCTAGCATCCCTTCCCTGCACTGCTCCAAGGCCTGGTATGATCTTCATTCCTTCTGCAGAAATGAATGTTGGCTTTCCTCTGCCTTCATGTCTTGGTCCTGCCCCTGGTATAGTCTCCAGAATTCTGCCTTGTCGTTAAGTCTTTGATGTGCACCCCTGAAGGACAGGGACCTGGACTGTTGCAGTCACTGCTGTATTCCCTCTACTACTGCGTGGGGTGGGTCATGGAAACAGCAGTTCTCTGGGATTTGGGGCATTTGTTTCCTTGTATTTGTTGCTATACTGGGGATCCAACCCAGAGCCTCCCATGTGCTAGGCAAATGCTCTACCACTGAGATACAAAAGCAGCTATCTGAACTCACATTTAAATCACCCTTTCTTGCTGTCTCCCTCCACAGACCAGAGGTCAGGCAAAGAGTCAGAGGCCTGGGTGCCTGACTCAGAGGAGAGGCTGATCCTTCGAGAGGAATTCACCAGCCGGATGCACCAGCGCTTCCTAGATGGCAAGGATGGGGACTTTGACTACAGGTGCTGCTGGGCTCTGTGTCCCCTTCCCCCAGCCCTAGGCCATGTACAGATCCCATGTATATCCCATCCATGTCCAGGGAGGGTCTTGATGGCCCTGCAGCAGTTCCAGGAGGTGGGCCCAGACAGCAGACAGGTCAGACAGCCTGGCTGAGATCAATCGAAGGCTGAGAGATGAACTTGGACTAACTTTGCCCATCTAAGCCTCAGTCCATCTGAGCCTCTAGCCCTCAGCTGTAAGAAAGGGAATGAGCCAGAGTGACATTTAGCTTGATAAAATGCTGAAACATTTCCATTGTGCTAGTGGTAGTGACCTGGTAGGATGCTGCTACCCCAAGCCTTCATATGTAGCCAGGAAACCCAGCTTCTTTCCTGGGGCTTCCAAACCACCTCATGCCACAGTGATTACTCTCGGGCAGGGTTGCCATCCAGTGTGGAGCAGCCTGTAGTGTGTTTGCCACCACCATGCTCCTCTCTGCTCAGAGTGAAAATTGTTGGTGTTTCTACAATAACCTGGGGTAAGGGGTACATGGACTACCTGCTTTGGAAAAGGATTTTGCCACAAGGATAAGAACATGACAGTGCAGTATCAGAGTCAAAGATAAATGAGTTTATCATCTGAGACAGTCTTCTCTCCTGGTCCCAAACATGGGGCCTGGTAGCAGAGACTACTCCCGGGTTTCAAATCCAGCCCTAATGACACATAAACTTTGTGGCCACAAATAGGCCATTAGTGGGTGCCTCAGTAAGATGGGGACTGTAATTACTACTGCCACCAGGCCAGCCTATAATCAGCACACACTGACGAGTATTGCTGGCCTACTGTTGATCCTGTAGCTCTAGAACTGACTGTGGAAGATCCACCCCTGCCAGCAGGGAGCTTCTTTGAACCTGGGTTCTCACATACAACGTGGGCAACAGCTCTCAGCCTGTAAGGTGCTTCAGTGAACTGGCACCATTGCCACTTCCTAACCAGGTGCCACAGAAAAAAGAGTGCTACCTTGCCACACATGGTGGTGCATGCCTGTCACCCCAGCAGTAAGGAGGCTGAGGCAAAAGGCTCACCATGAGTTTGAGCCCAGCCTGAACTATATGTGACCTGTCTCAAAAAAGCAAAAGCAGGGGGTTGGGGATTTAGCTCAGCAGCATAAGCGCCTGCCTTGCAAGCAGGCAGTTGTGAGTTTGATCCCCGGTACCGATAAAAAGGAAAAAGACAACAACAACAAAAAAAAGTAAAAGCAAAACCAAAGCAAACAAAACAAAGTGGTGCAAACCTACCCTTGTCCTGTCAGCCTCCCAGACATGTCCCTCAGCTGGTCACTGACTCAATGTATGCAAAGTGTCTGCTGTGTCAGGCCCTGGGGTCAAAGCTGGAAACAAATCCAATGTAAGGCTTTTGCTGCTTGGAGGGCACTTACACCCACACCAAAGAGGAGGACAGAGAGTGAGTTGTTGTCTAGTGGTGATGGGGCTGTGGAAAACCCAAGGAGAAGGAAAGGGAGCGCCCACTGGGTCAGGCAAGGTTCTCTGAGGGGGTGACATCTAAGCACTGACCTGCAGGAGAGGAAGGGAGGAGGCCTAAATGACTGAATGCACCACATTCCTTGGAGCAGTAAGGAAGGGCAGTGGGCCTCGCGCCCAGCAGGGCTTCTTACCAGGGCCCCTTCTCCCATCCTAGGCCGGGTGGGTCAGGTGCTCTTTCTTCCAAGGATTGTCTTTGAGGAAAAGGGTTAGCATCTCTACCAGTAACAAGACAAGGTGAGGACAATCTAAAGGTTAACATGCCCTTAGGGACAAAATTCCAATGCTTGTCCCACAAATGTAGGCCCCTCTGTCACATACTGCTTTTAAGAGAAGTCAGGATGGGCTGAGGATTTAGCTCAGCGGTATAAGTGCCTGCCTTGCAAGTGTGTGGTCATGAGTTCGATCCCTGGTACCAATTAAAAAAAAGGGGAGGGGGTTGTCTTTTTCCTTTTTATCGGTACCAAGGATCAAACTCACAACTGCCTGCTTGCAAGGCAGGCGCTTATGCCACTGAGCTAAATCCCCAGCCCCAAAAGTCAAGGTTTTTTTGTAAGGTCTCTACTTGGAAAATGTTTCCTTCTGTTCTTAAGCCCTGAAAAGCCTAATATCCCCTCTGAGGGTCAACTGTGACAGGCAGCTGCCAGCACATGGCCTTGGGGATCCTTTAGCGCTTGACCTGGCTTCCCAGCGCCCCTGACAGCCTCCTTCCTCCCCCTGCAGCACAGTGGATGACAATCCCGACTTCGACAACCTGGACATTGTAGCACAGGATGAAGAGGAGAAGTACTTTGATGAAGAGGAACCAGAGGATGCACCCAGCCCAGAGCTGGATGGGGACTGACAGCTGCCCCCCTCTAGCCAGCCCCCATGGCCACCCCACCCCACCAAGCAGCTGATGACAGACAGGCCAGCTCAGCAACTCTTTGGGGGCTATCAGGGCACACGAACACATATGCATACATCCCACTAGCCTGCCTGGGTCTGGTCTTCTCTGAAACAATACCACTACCTGTTTACAAGCCCTCCTCCCTTTCTTTCTTTCCCTTATTCTCTCCATCACCTGCTTCTTTTTTTTTTCTTGCTGTTATTCTGGTTTATTCTTTTGTCTCATCTCCTTTGCCTTTTTTCCCGGTATCTGGCCACTCTGCTCCCCAATTCATTTCCCCCTCTATCCCCCTCCCTCCATCTCTCTCCCTATTCCTTAGGCTTTGTCCCCACAGGAGGTCCAGTCCAGGATGAACGAGACACCAAGGCCAGCCAGTGGGGCCCGTCATGGCTAGAACAGGCCATTTGATTTCAGGGTGGCTGTAGTGGGACCCAGAACAGCTCTTCCCTTACACAGGCTACCTCAGTCTTCTTCCACGGTCTGTCTGGGTCTGTGCCACTTCCCGCCTCAGCACCACCTGCCTAGGGTGTTGTGTTCCCGTCTCACCTTCTGCTTTGTTCTCTGGGCCTGTCCTTTCAGCTTGTACATTTCCACTCCTTTCCCAGCTGTCTCTGTCCCTCTCTGTCTCAAGTTTAGCTCTCTGGGTTTCAGTCTCCCCAGGCCTGACTGCCTTGGGCAGCAGATCCTTAACTGCTGAATAGTGCAGCCTCCCTGTGAGCATAACTGGGGATCATAGGCTGCTAGCCTGGGGGTAAGCAGGGGCAGAGAAGAGGAGCTGTCCTCCACTGGCCCCCTGTGCCCAGACAGTTTTCCTTCATTTCCTCTGCCTGTTTCCCTCTCCTGTTTACACTCCCCGAATGTGCACAGGCTGTTATCATGGGTCCTGAGTCATCCCACACGCAGGCTGCCCCAGCATCCCTGCCCCAGCCAGCCGCAGGGCCCGCCCCACTGAGCCCCCTGCCGCCCCAGGCTAATGGGAGCCAGATGGCTGCCTGTGACTCAGCCATAGCCTGTGGGAACCCAGGCGTCCCACCTTCCCATGCCCCACGCCTGGGCCCTGTTCCCCCAGCAGACACAGAAGAGACTGGCCGCTGTGAGCAGGGCAGGGGGAGCTACAGGCCAGGGGCTGGCAAGCGTGGGTCCTGGAACCCCTCAGTCCTATGAGACACAGTGGCATCCTGCCTTGTCCGTGACTGAAGGACATTGAGAAGCACCTCTTGACCCCAGACCTGGACTCTGCCCTCGGTCAACCGGAATCAAAACCAGACAGGCAAGTGAAAGCTGGAAGGACACAGAGGGATTTGCAGCTGGAGGGATTATTACATAGTGAAAGCTTCAGCTGCAGAGCAGTTCCGTCCTGCGCTGAGCCCAGGAGACATGCCTGACACCACGAGGCAGCCTTGGAACAGCTCTTGAACTAGAGACCATCAACTCTGTTTCACAGATGCCACAGGAGGCCCTGACAGATGTGCTTCCCAAGGTCGCTTGGCCTCAGAGGCCAGGCTGGGATGGGAACCAAGTGCTAGAAACCTGTCTGCAAGCCAGCATGTCAGATGTTAGGCCACAGACTAAGGGGGGGATGTAAGAGCAGGCAGGTGTGTAGGAAGATGGCTAGCGCACTGCCAGACACTGCCCACCAGATGGGACCAAGACATCCTCGTCTAGGTCGGGGGTGCTCAGATTGCTGGGTCACCACACCGTCCCAGGAAGAGGTGCATCCAGTACTACTGACTCCATGTCCCCGAGCAGCACACAACCATGAGGCTGAAGACAGTCCAGACAGGATCTCCAGGACTGAAGACATTTGCCTCAGATATCCACGTTCATGTTCTCAGTGACAGCTATAGTTACTGGTACATACTTTTGATTGGTCTTTGATTCAATCATTAAATTTGGGGGCTGGGGATTTAGCTCAGCGGCATAAGGGCCTGCCTTGCAAGCAGGCAGTCGTGAGTTCGATCCCCCGTACCGATAAAAAGGAAAAAGACAAAATAAAAAAAAAGGAAAATGACAAAAAAAAATTTGTTTCTGATATACTTCACCATACATAAATTTGGTTATGCAACTTTTAAAAGAGATGAGAGGCACAGCAATTGAGTCAGAATCAGGGTTAGTCAGAAGTTCGAGACGGAGTGTCTGTAGCTAAGAGACAGAGGTGGAGCCCGCCACAGGGACAGGGATTAGATGAGGAGACAGGAAGAGAGGTGGAGACAGACGATCCACTCTGAGACACACCCCCTGGGTACAGTCTCAGAGCAACCCCCACAGTTCTGGGGATGGGGTGGGTGGAGAGGCTGAATCAGGGAAGGGACGGGAGCCCCTCCGTGGGCATCCGGCCCCTACCTCCCTTGTCTCCTGTGTGTCGTGGCCCTGGCAGTTTGTGCTGGCTGCCACCCCACCCCCTTGTCCCACACCTCTGTGCATCCTGCCAGAGCTGGAGCTAACTCCGCCTCCCTCGGCTCCTTTCTCTGTTGAGGTCCCGGCCTGTCCCTCACTGTCTTTTGCTTCTCTCCATTTTCTTTTGATCTTCTGTCTCTGTGCCATCTTCTCTCGCTGGTCTGTTCTCTGTCTCTGGCTGTCAGGACTCTGCCTTCTGAGTTCCTGAGCCCTCTCTCCTCCCTCAGTTTCCCTCCACCTCTACCTGCTCTCCCCACTCTCACTCTTCACTCCCTTGTCATTTCTCACTTCAGCTCTCAGCTCCGGTGACTATCTTAGGAAACCTGTTCCCCATCCAGCTCTCCCTCGTCTCCATGCCATAGACCTCATTTTTTCCGGTCTCTGCTGCTGACATCTCTCTCTCCTGGGAATCCCATCTGGGACATCCAACTCAGAGCTTCACTGATGGCCCCTGGGAGCCCAGAATGAGGGGTCATCATCTCACCCCCACCAGGGAGGGGACAACAAGACTGGGCCTGTCTGGCCAGAAGGAAATGTCTGTACTGTGGCCTGGTCACCCCCCACCCCCAGGACCTGCTGGGCTGCTGCCGCCCCCAGCCTGGGGCCGAGTAAACACAGCCACTGGAGCCTGGGGATATTTATACCGAAGCTGGGCGCAGGGCCAGTGCCCACCACAGCCCCTGCCCTGCCCTGCCCTGCCCTGCCCGCTGCCACAGCCAGCCCTGAGCCAGCGTGGCACCAGACAGCAAGAGATGCCGCAGACACAGCTCTACTCACTCAGCACAGAAGCCAGAGAACACGTGAGATTCCCCTTCCCTGAAGATACCAGCACACAGTGCAGCCCCACACCTACCTCCAGTGCCCTCAAAGATGACCCACAGAGTCCTTTACACACAAGTCACCAGGCTGCAGGTGGGGACACCAATGAGACTCCTGCTTGGAGATGCCCACACAGGATGAGAACACCAGTCTTCAGGATGGACACACACAGAGACAGGCCACACCTATAAGTACAGCTTGTCATACAGCAATGTTGAGAGAGCCACTGAGCATGCCGGGGAGACACCACAGAGATACATCATCTGGGAAACAAAAGTGCTCAGCATACCAGCAATGCAAGCACTCATCACAAAACGTAACCCAGGGGTTAGGGTGCAGCTTAGTGGCACAGCGCTTACCTAGCCTATGTGAGGCCCTGGTTCAATCCCATCACCACCATCACCCCCAAAAAACAACTCAGACACACAAACACTGGAAACTGTCACACATGTGCACCAAAAACAGCTCACATCTAAGAAAATACACATTTCCTGGAAAACATCTTTCTCACACACTCATAAACAAGCAGAAAATACATTTCAAAGGCTGGGAATATAGCAGTGGCACAGTGCCTACCTGGCAAGCACAAGGTCCTGTATTCGAGTCCCGGTACCAAAAACCAAAAATTTCAAATCAGATGTACACTAAGCACAAATTTATACCAAGAGAGTAACAGTGAAGATTTTGAAAGAAATTTAGACACTCGTGGATATGCAACCCACTGGTATATATGCACTAGTCAAACAGTGCCAGAACCCACAGAAAGTACCCCAGCTTATCGGGCAGAAACAACACAGCAAAAGCACTCACCAGAAAGACAGCAAGCCACAAACACAGAGCTGAACACAAGCTGAGGACACACTGAGGATACCATCTATACTGTGCTGCTGAGTTAGAGCCCAACACCATGCTAGAGACAGCTATCCCCAAAGCTGCAGACACAAACACCCACATCCTGAACACTTCAACATTCACACTAGAAGCAAAACACCCGCATTCTGCCATCCACAGGTTTAAGGAGAAAGGGGCTTCCGTTTGCTCCCTGACCCCTCCCCCACTCCTGTCGACCCCATCTCAGGTCTGTCCGAGGAAGGGGGCTGAAAGGCCTGCGCTGGCCTCCTGTCCGCTTCCTGTAGTGGGGGCTGGACGGGAAGCCCAGGCTCCAGCCGGAACCCAGGCTCCCCCCACGACTTCCCCCGACAACTCAGGCTGCCTGCAGGGTGGGGCGGGGCCTTACAAGGAGGGGGGAGCGCCCCAATCCCTGGCCCAGCCCCTGAGGATGGTGAGGGTGGGGCAGACGTGTCCCAACTGGGCCAGGCCACCCAGCGACCCACCGACAGGGTGCCAGAGTGGCAGGACAGGGACCGCGCGTGGAGTACACACTTTGCATTTCCCTGTGCCTGGTGGGTGGCTGAGCTAGTGTGAGGCTGGGAGCTTGGGCAGGTGGGCGGGCTGTGTCACTGGAAGGCCAGGCGGCCCTGGCCCTGCGGTGAGGCCAGCACTTCAGCCGCGCCCAGCTTCAGGGCCACAGCAATGGTGGGGGGTGTGTCTGTCTGGGGCCCCTGTGGGACTCCCGAGGCTAAAAGTGGTGGTGGCAGTGATATGTCAGACAGTGGCTGTGACCCACTGGCCACCTGTAATTGCAATGTTAAACCTCCGTGTTTGGTTGAGACTGTGACACAATGACCATGACCCCATGGAGAATGTTTGTGTAACGGTGTGTGTGTGGGGGGGGGGGGGTGGCTCTGTTTCCTGATGGGGTTCTAATGCTGATGTGTCTGTGTGACACTGTCTGAATCCATGTCTGGTATGTGGTGACCATGACCCTGTGGAATATATTTGTGTGACAGTTTTGCTTTTGAAGTCTGAAGCTCCACAGCTGGGCTGATTATGCAATTGGGTAACACTCTGATTCTGTGTATTGTGTGGACTGTGATGCTGACAGGTGTCACAGTCCACGTATCCCCAGTCCTGCAGGGTGCCTGTGTCTGCTTCAGCTCTGAGAGGTCGGTGAGTTTATGTGCTGTGGGGCACCAGCCATGTTTCATCCCTGTCAGGGTGTGTATGTGCACATGTGCATGCTCATCCATGTGCTACATCTACATCCCACATCCCCATGGGGCTGCAAGGACCTCAGTCCATGATGGTGTGGCCTGGTTTGTGTTTGCCACTTGGGGCCAGGCCTCACAGCAGTGTCTCCACTCCTAAGGCTCGTGACAGTAATGGCATGTCACTGCCAAGTAAGTTCCCCTCCAGCTCAACCCTTTGTGACACCCAGATCTAGGGAAAGGCAGGAAGGGCCCAGGGGCCCACGCACCTCTCCACCAGTGGCACCAATTGTACTCAACCCACAGGCAAAGGAAGCTCCACACTTACACTGTCTTTCCTCCGGGATAGTCCCTGGTGGAGGAGCGAGTCAGGGGCCCCTGGGCCTGAGAACAGCAGGAAGATAAGGAGAAGTTGAAACCCCAGAGAGAGGAACTGAGGGGCCAGAGAAGGCAGAAGCAGGAGAGAACTCAACGGCATGATTACAGCAGATGAGAAGAGACAAGGCAGGTGGCAGGAAACCTGCCCTGGCCCAGACCATTATCACTTACCCAGACAACAACCACCTGGGGGCCACTCTCAATCAACAGCCATAGGGTGAGCCTCGAGAACTGCTAGGGCATCTAGTGCCCTCTGTTCACAATCCTGCCTGGCGCTCATCTTCCTCAGAGGACAAGCCCTGGCACAGGCCTTAAAAGTACACTATGAACCCTCTGCTCAAGCTATATGGTTTCGAATCCCGGCTCTCCCACTTACTAGCTGTCTGGACTTAGCGATTAATGTAACCTCTCTGCCTCCGTGTTCCTCTCTGTAAAGTGCAGCAGGGATCAGGAAGATTTTCCTATAACACCAGACGTAAGGCTTCCGACTCTGTATGCTTTCTCAATTCTGCTGCTGAAACAGCAGCGCAGCCACAGGCAATAGGTAGTGAAGCAGTATGGCTGTGTTTCAGTACCACTTCATGACAGAAAACAGGAGTGGGTGGCAGCTCGCCAACCCCTGCCTTGCTGCTGTGGGGAGAATGCAGGGAGCAAGGCAGACGACACACCTGGCATGCAGAATTGTTATTACTTTCTGGCCTGGGAGTGTTAGGACTGACTCAGCTCCCAACACCCTTCCTTTCTCACTCTTCCAACTAGGCTGGCCTTTTCCTCACTGTACCACAGCCCAAGCCGGTCATCACTTCCGACTTTTGCTTTGGCCTCCTCCTACCAAGAACACTGCCCCCCACCCCACCCCAGTTCTCCCTTAGGGCTGCCTTCCTTCCTTCAACTCTTACACAACACTTGCTTTTAGATCCCCTCCATCCTCCTCAGAGCCTCTCTTCTCACTCTTCCTGGCTTTTTGTCTACAGATCACTTGCCATAGAACTGTTAGTTTTTTGTTTTTTGTTTTTGTTTGGTACCAGGAATTAAAATGAGGATCTCGCACCTGCCAGGCAGGTGCTGTGCCACTGAGCTTTATCCGTGGCCTGGAACATCTGGATTTCCTGTCTCCCAAGCCCAGGAAGTCAGTTTCCAATAGTTCCCACAACTACTTCCTCCATCTCTCCAGGTTACCATTTCTTGTTTGTTTGTTTGTTTGTTTGGTACTGGGGATCCAACTCATGACTTTGCGCTTGCCAGGCAGGCACTTATGCTGCTGAGCTAAATCCCCGGCCCAGGTTACCATTACAATCCCTGTGAAAAGGGTGTTTCACAGTCCCTGTGTCTCAGTGTTGCTATGATTTAATTAGTTCATTAATATAAGATGCTGTAAAGTGTTCAAATTGCCAGATAAATAAAATGCTCACCATTTAAATTACGCTCTGTGCCTCGGAAAGCCCTCCAAACACAGCACAGTATTCAGTAAGTGTTTATGTGATTTGGGGAAAATTAAGGGGGAGGCAGCTGGAGAAAGATGTCAAGAAGTACAGGAAAAGCAGAGTCAAGGAGGGAGACCCAGGCGCCCAACGACAAGGAGACACGACATCCTCTTTCACCTTTAATTAGCCCTCCGGTGAGTTTGGGGCACAGGTGTCCTTAAATACAGCCCCCGACGGGGGCGGGGCCGGACCTGCCGGGGCGGGCGGGGCGGGGCGGGAGAGGGCAGAGCCTCAGCTGCACTTGCAGGAGCGCACGATCATGTTGGAGAGCTGCTCCACCTTGGCTTTGCGGCCCACGTAGTACACGATGGGCAGTGGCTCCAACGCCTGCGGCACACAGCAAGGCGCCGCCGAAGCGCCGGGGTTGTGCTGGTTGTACAGGGCCAGGACCTGAGGGAAGGCCAAATGGGTCAGGGACAGGTCAAGGGTGGGTCAAGGGTGGGCCGAGACTCCAGGAGATGAGGTGAGGCAGCCTCCACAAAGACTTGTGCAGGTAGCTAGCCAGTCTCTTCCCTTCCCTCTCTTGTCTGGCTCTGTCCTCCTCTGCCTCCTCATCTTTGCCTCTTTATCCTCCCCTTCATCTTTCTGTTTCTCTCTCACCCTAGCCTGCCAACACATCTCTGATTTTTACATTCTTGGTGCTGGCTCCCCACAACCCGTGGGCCAGACCCACCTTGCTGTACTGTGTGTCCAGGCTCCAAATGTAGGGGCAGGGCCCCAGGCAGAAGTTGGCATGGTAGCCCTTGGGCTCGTGGATCCACTTCCATCCTAGGTCCTTGCGGAAGTCAATGTAGAGCTGCCGCACACAGCAGTTCTTCTCCGTGGAGCTGTAAGCAGGAAGAGATGGGTCAGGAGCAAGGGAAGCCCTGCTGCTCCTCCCCAGCCTGTGTGTCCCTGAGACTGCCCCCACCTCCATCCTGTCTCTTTGGCACCCCCAAAGAGGTAAGAATATAGTAACTGTAATGATAATTGCTAATACCTATAAAGCACTTCGTCTCTTGATCAAGGTGCTAAGAGCATCATAATAAACATTATCTCACACAGTGCTCAAAACAAGTCTGTAAGAAGCTAAATGATATCACCCAACAGGTGAAGGCTAAAAACTCTCATGGCACATCCACTAATAAAACATCGAACCATAAAATGCAGCTCCCGGTGTGCTGACATGCTCTAATCTGCTCAACAAAGACTTAGTGAACTATTACCGTGCACCAGGTGAGGCTCTGCCACTTGGGAAGAGCATAAGTAAGACAGAAATCCCAGCTTTGTAGTGCTACAGCTTATTATAGCACTCCTCTGGCTCCAGGCATGGCTTCATCACGCAGCCAATGCCGAGGACTAAGCCCAAAGACAGCCCCAAGGTCTACCAAACATGGCTGATCTCAACATCCTCTCTCACCCACCCCACTTCACTCCGGCCACATTACCTTCCAGTCTGTTCTTCAAACACAATTGTGTCTCAGGGCCTTTGCACTTGTTGCTTCCTCTCCCTGAACTGCTGTCCCACTGATACTCACTCTGGCTCCCTCTTTCATTTAAACCTTTGCTAAAGTGTCCATCACTCAGGGACCCTTAACTCCTGAAACAGTAAGTGTTCAATAAATATCAGTTGCAAAATGAATATCACCTCCTGAGAGAGACCTTCCTGACCCATCCTACCCAAAGTATTAATCCAAATGACTGTTAATTTCATTCAGTGCAACATGGCATTGGAGTTATTATTTAAAAATATGAAAATGGCTTTATTTGAAATGGACAGTCATCACAACTTTTTTTTTGGGGGGGGGGTACCAAACTTGCAATCTTGTGCTTGCTTGCCAGGCAAGCCCTATAACTCTCGAAGCTGGAGGAAAGTTCACAGAGGATCATTACATTATCTTTTCTGCTTTTGTTTACATTTAAAATTATCTATAATAAAATAACTTTAATCTGAATAGGAAGAATAAGTAGTTCCCAATACCCACTTTTCTTACCTCTGATATCTGCACATCCCCACTGGTTAGCTGTCCTCCTCTAACCATGGGAAGTTCTGACTGTTTCATTTCCTGAACTATCCCTTCCAGCCTGCACCATGGCTGGCACCCAGTAGGCGTTCATCAAATGCTGGAGGCATAAACTAACTGATACGTTACTTTTTCTAGAGACAGGGTCTACATTAAAGTGTACCCAAACTGCATCCCAAAGCAGCTGGCACATGTCTGTAATTTTATCTCTCAGGAGGCTGAGACAAGAGGATTGTAAATTTGAAGGTAGCCTGGACAACAGAGATCAGTCTCAAATAAATAAAGCAAGTTTAAAAAACCGGGACCCTATAAGACTCTACCACACCTGACTTAAGATCTGCCAGACTCCAATCCAAATGCCAGTTCTTCCCAATCCAGGGCCAGCCTCTCCCTGCCTGAAAGGAGCAGGGTGCTCTATGCCAGACCTGGGGGTTCTGGCTCAAATGGGCAGGCAGGCCAAGAGAACTATAAAGCCGAGTTTATGACACATGCCTATAACCTTACACTCTGACAGGCTAAGTCAAGAGGACTGCAAATTCAAGTCCTGCCTCAAGGGATTTAGCAACTTGCTGAGAACCTGTCTTAAAATAAAAAAAATAAAGGAGAGAGACTGGAGATGTAGCTCAGTGCAAAAGTTCTGGGTTCAATCCTCAGTACCACAAGGGAAAAACAAAAAAAGTGGTCATGTATAAGCATGTCACATAGACACTGTCTCTGGAAGGAGACTACATAGGACCAAAGTGGATGCCTCTCCCAAGAGGTGCTGAGGTCAGAGTGAGAGTGTCGAAGTATCCTCTCTGCATGGATGGGTCTGTGTGCACATAAACACCTATCCAAAGATTTATCAAAAGACAATGGATTTCTGGGCCTGGTGGCCCATGCCTATAACCCCAGAACTTAGCAGGAAGATCGTGAGTTTCAGGCCAGCCTGGGCTACAAAGTGAGCTCAAGGCCAGAATGAACTGCATAGCAAAACTCAGTCCAAAAAAGACAAAAGAAAAAAAGAAACAGGATTTTTTTTCCCCAAAGAATGAAGCAACTGAGTCTCAGAGAAAGGGGGAAGGTGGCTTGGTCACACCTCAACTGGCAGAGGTAGGGTCATAGCTAACTCTAAGACCCCAGAGCCTATGTGTGTGTGTGGGGAGGGGGTCCCAAGGGTCCTGAACAAGTAGAAGAGGAAGTGGCAAGGAATTTCCAGGGCAAAGTAAGACCTTTCCAGGAGCCACAGAACCCTGAAGAGGGATTTAGGAAACTAGGGCTGCTATGAACTCAGTCTGCTCCCTCCTGAACTTGGTTAGGGCTCAGTTTCTCTTCTCTGTTCAAAAAGGTGGAGGATTTTGGATCAAATAAGGTGCCATTAACCTGAGGGCCAAGAAGCATCAGGAAATCCATGGATGGCTCAAAGGGGAGCACTGAGAGCTTCACCATCTGCACATATTTCTGGGGAAAAGAGTCCTGGCCCTCAGCTTTTCAGAGGGCAGGATTCTGACTCACAAAAAGGAAAGCAGATTATTTCTGATTTCCAGTCCAGCTCTGGCTGAGGTTCTGGGTCTCAGAATTTGAACAGCCTATGATACTATCATCACAGTCAGTGGTTCTCCATGTGGGGTCCCTGGCCACCAGTACTAACAGTGTGTGGAAACTTATGAGGAATGCGAATTCCCAGACTCCCATAGACTTAGAACCATGGGGCAGCAGGGCAATAGTCAGGCAAAAGAGGCCCTACTACATGTGTGGCCTGAGGTTTGGATGGCTTTGTTTTTGCAAACCTCTTCTGTCCAGTCTATCAGGATCAAGCAAGAGCTAATCAGTAAAAGGAATCCAAACGGAGCCAAGCACCAGGGAAGGCTTCACATTTACCTTGGGTGCTAGAGATAGGGGTCTGAGAAGCATCCTAATTGAGCTAGTGTTTGAACTGATGTAAAAAAGACTTTTCTTTCTTTCTTTCTTTTTTTTTTTTTTTGGTGTGTGTGTGTGTGTGTGCGTGTGTTTATTTGAAACAGGGTCTTGCTATGTAGTTTAGTCTGGTCTTCAACTTGTAGCTATTCTCCTGCCTCAGCTTCCCAAATGGTAGGATCATGGGTCTGTGCCACTACACCTGCCTAAAAACAACTTTTTTTTTTTTTTACATTTTTAAAAATCTTTTTATCAGTACCGGGGATCGAACTCAAGACCACCTGCTTACAAGGCAGGTGCTTATGCTGCTAAGCTAAATCCCCAGCCTCTAAAAACAACTTTTTGTAAGAGAATATTTCACACAGAAGCAGAGAGTACTGTATTACAAACTGAGTATCTCAGCAGGGTGGGATGGTGCATGGATGTAATCCTAGCACTCTGGGAGACTGAGGCAAGAAGATGGCGAATTCACATCCAGCCTGGACAACTTGGTGACACCCTGTCTAAAAAAACATTTGCTAGGGATAGTGATGCAGGCCCATGGGCTGAGGCAGGAGGATTGCCATGAGTTTGAGGTCAGCCTGGGATACACAAGCAAGTTCAAGGTCAGGCTGCACTACACAGCAAGACCCTGTCTCAAAAAAAAGCAAAACAAAAAAAAAAAATGTTAAAGGGGAAGAAAAAGGAGTAGGGATGTATGGTAGTGGAAAAGCCCTAGATTCAATCCCCAGTATCAATAATAGTCATAACAACAGCCACCATCACCATATGTAAAAAAATTAGTAATGATCCCTTATCATCAAATATCTATTCATTTACTCAAAATTTGCAATTTCTCAACTGTCTTATAAATAGCTTTTTTGTATGTGTGGTTGGTTTCTGAGACAGGGCCTCACTACATGGCTCAGAGTAGTCTTGAAATTTCTGGGGTTCAGAGCAGCTGGGACTACAGATACATGCATAACTTTTTTTTAACCTGTATAAATAAAAATCCAAACAAGGTTTACATACTGCACCTGGCTAATATAGCTTGCATGATTCTTTTAAAAATCTACAGAACCACAGAACCAGCTCTCTGTATTCTCCCTCTCTGCACTGCATTTGTTACAGCAACTGGGTCAGGTTTCCCACCCTCTGGATTTTGCTGACTTGACACTGTGGTGTGGCTGACCATGTTCCACTCTCCCATTATTTCAGGGACTTGGAGGTAAAGTTCTGATCAGATTCAAGTTTGATTTTTAGGAAAGACTTCCAAGGTGATACAGTGTCCCTCCCAGAAAAAGCTCTCAGGGCAGGCTGGTTCTTTCTGAAAGCCACTGGAACCCAATCTGTGAGTTCACAGAGATTTTCAGGGTAAGTATAGTAAGGCTCCAGGAAGCAGGACAGACAGTCCAATGGGAGAACAGCATAAATCAGATCCCACAGACACACGGAGATATCATAAGCACAGGAGGGACAAGGTCAGATTATCATTCTAATTTTTTTTGTGTGTGTGTCTTTTTCCTTTTTATCGGTACCAGGGACTGAACTCACGACTGCCTGCTTGCAAGGCAGGCGCTTATGCCGCCGAGCTAAATCCCCAGCCTCTCTAATTTTATAACATTCTGGCTCTGAATTTCAACTTTCTAGGAATTTAATATTTCAATTTGCTTGAATTACAGTATTAATATATTATAGCTTCTTAAGGTTCTAACATTCTGTTAGCATTTCCAATTTTCTAGAATGCCTACCTTCCACAACTTGTCTTTTTTTTGGACAGGATCTCACTACGCAGTTCAGGTTGGCCTTGGACTTGCAGTAATCCCCCTGCCTTACCTTACTGGGAGCTGGGGCTACAGGTGTGTGTTACTATGCCCAGAAAATTGGCATTCCTGAATTGCCACATTTCAGCATTGTATTCCAATATTCCCAAGTTCTGAGTCCAGCACTCAATCTAACATGCCAACTTCTAAGATCCCAAGCATTCCAATATTCTAATATTTCAATGCTGATCTCCAATCATCTAGGATACCAATATCCTTACCTTCTCCATCTCCAACATCTATGCACACTAATATTTTAACACAGAACTCCACCATTCTGAGTCCAATATTCTGATCTCTCATTTTTCAACACTGAAGACTGCATTCTGCTGATGGTGTAGGAATCCATTGTCAGCCCCCTTCCAATTCTGAATTCCCAAATACTGGGATCCCAACATTCCAGCTTTCCTTGAGTCCTACACTCTAATTTCAATCTTTAAACACTATTCCCCCAGCCCTTTACGGGCAGAATTGATGTCTAAGCACCTGGCTGCTCAGCCATAGATGAGATTCCCTGAATTCTTACATTCTTGAATCCTATCAGGGCTGAGGCACCTCGCCCATGGTAAGTAGTACTTGCCTAACATGCACAAGGCCCTGGATTCAGTTACTGGCAATGCCAAAACAAAGCCAAAAAAACCCTGTGGAATCCTAACATTCTAGAACTCCAACTGCCAACAAGGTAAGAACCCAATAAGGCAATCTCCCAACACTGACTTCTAACTCATGGTGTCTAACATTCTAAATCTCTGATTCCAACACTCCAGCAAGAAAGCAACCTGATCTCTACATTACAGGACTCCATTGCTCAGATCCCAGAGCTCCACAGCCCTATCCCCAAGACCTACAGATTAAAGAGGATGCTCAACCCAGTAACAGCACCAGCCACGAATCTGCATCTACCCAGGAGCGCCTGGTCGGCAGACAGCAATCAAGTCCCCAGTTTGCAAGGCTTCAGTCAAAGGCTACAAAGCTCACCTGAAGCAATAGTTGGTGTCCAGGCCCCGGCGGTGTCTGGAGCTGTGCAGGTGCTGGGCCCTCTCCAGTGGGGTGGCCATGAGGAGCAGGAAGGGCCGGTTCATGCCATGAATAGCAGCCAGGTCACCCCGGCGTTTGGGACCGATCCCTGTTTAGGTTTAGGTGTCAGGGTAGAGGATATATACACTCTCAGGAGAGGTCAGTGAGCAGGAAACAAATGAGATGTCACACACACACAGCAGCACACACACGGCAGCACACACTGCAGCACACATGCATGCACACACAGATCACACTCTTGGCCATGGGGCCCAGCCAGGGAGTTTGGCCTTACCGTTGATTTCCACGCGGAGCGTGTTATCTTTGCTATCACAGGAGCAGTGAGCACTGAAGCGAAAGCCCTCTAATTCCTCTGTGGGAGGGGACACAGAGAAGCTAGGCTGAGGGTGGCTCACCCAGCCCCTAAGGGCTGTGGCAGGAAGGAGCAAACCCCAGAGGCTCCTTCCTGCTCACCCTACTCTACCCTTTCACTGCAGTGCTTTTGCTCTAGTTCTTTTTGTTGCCAGTTCCTTCCCTTCCTTCAGGTCTCTGCCTAAATATCACCTTTGCAGAGAGGCCCTCTAGAATGTCCACCCCGCTCCACTATGGTATCCCTTTGTTTTCTCTAGAGCACGCATGCACCCTCTCTGACATCTGTGTTTGGCTCTTTGTTTCTCTCATTGTTCTCAGGAGAAAGCAGAATGCACTGGGGTAGGATCCTTATTTTTTGTTATTCTCTATTAGGCTTGGCCCACAGTCACACAAAGTACTGGGTGCCCAGTCTTACTCTTTAATCCTCAAACTCTCCATTTTACACACCAGGAAACTGAGGCACAGAGAGAGGAAGTGACTTCCCCAAAGTCACATAGGTGCCAAAAGATCATGCTGAGGTATAAATCTAAGCCGAGGCACTTCCCCACACTGCAAGTGTAACATGTTTCCTGAATGAATACATAGATGATGTTTAACCTTCTAGGGCACCACATTCTTTGCTAAGTACTTGAGACTCAGCATGGATCAAGACAAATGAGATCCAGGTCTTTGTCCAGTAGTCCAGGACACCTCTTCGAGCACCCACCTGCTCCCTCATCGCTTCATGTAGCCAAACTAACGACACATCCCATGAGTCTCAACACAACCACCCAGAATTTGGTATTCCCTTATCCCAGCTAATCCCTCTGTCTCTGTCTCCCCATTCTGGTTTTGATCATTTTTCAAGACCTTTAGGTATCCAGAAGAGATAGTGGGCTCTGTGAGGACCAGACCCAAGGTGGTCTTGGTTACCACTGTGTCCCTCACATCACCCAGCAAGTAGCCAGGCACAAGCAGGAACCTTTTGGCATGCTGAATGAATGCAGGGTTAAGAAGGTGAGGAGAAGGGCTGGGGATTTAGCTCAGCAGCATAAGCACCTGCCTTGCAAGCGTGTAGTCGTGAGTTTGATCTCTGGTACCGATTTAAAAAAAAGAAAGTGAGGAGGTAACATCCAGGCACTGAGGTTTGTTCCATGAACAGAATAGACACAGCCCTTTCCTAGAAAGATCACGTGTGGCAGGCTCTTCCTGGCCTCAAGGCTTTTGCACAAAACATTCCTGCCTCTACTTCTTTTCCTGCCTGGCTCTCTCATCTCTCCAATATCAGCTGAGATTCTCTCCCTCAAGTCCAGGCTGGGTCAGGCACCTCCTGTGGTCTCCCATCTCAGCCCTGCCACTCTGGGCTTTCACCAGCTAGCTACAGGTCTGTTCCTGACCAATCCACACAAGGAACCTTGAACTCCACGAGGGCAAGGATGAGGTCATTTTGGTCACTGCTGTGTCCCCAGCATCACCCAGCACAAGGCAGGGAAGAGAGATGACCTCAAAAATGGGACTAAATCATTTACAGATCCACCAGTTAATCACTCAGGGCAGAGAGCCAAGCTCAGTTCTTTGGCACTGACGCTGAGTGGGTGGTGTTAAGCAGAGTGACCCCAGGACAAGCAACCTCACCTGATCCCACTGAGAAACAGGTGAGACAGCAAAACTCACCTCCTTGGCTCAGCCACTGCCGCACAACTCCAGTGACATCAAAGGACAACCACTCTGGGGTATCACTGGGGGTCAGGAGCTGGTTGCTGAGGTAGCGCCAGGAATTGTTGCTGTATTTCTGAAGGATTTCAAATGGGACGAAAGACAGTGGAGGAAGCTACACCTCCCCACAAACACGGACTACACTCCCATTCTATCTGCTCCCCCAAACAGATTTCCAGAAAGTCCCCAGACACTAGCCTTCCAGACATCACTCTGTGGGACCCTGCAAGCTCCACCTTTGCCTTTCAAGAAAACAGGAGAGAGAACCCAGCTGGGGTCAACACTGGGGGCACCTCATTCTTTGCCTGTGATGCTCTATAGAGCTGTGGTCACCTTTCCCTCTGTAAGCTTCACTTTTCTCCCTGGTTGAATGCTAGGCCTCTCGAAGCATGGATAGCCCATAACGCTAAGTCACTAACATTCTGGGGTCTGCGGAGCATATAGTTCATCAAATTTTGCACCCTGGATTCAGAATCAAATTTCTAAGGGTTTGTGTTAAAAGTCATTTCCTAACTCTAATGTTCAACAGCATCCCAAGAATTACACACATAACAAACCTAAATAAGTTGTAGACTACTACCCATCTACAAACTGAGAATCTGATAGGCACTGCCCCTAGATGTTGTGTGGAACAGTCCCTGGGGCTATATGTAACACACAGGGTATGGAACATTTTCTGTTTTTCAGGAAGCTGACATTAGACAAAGAACTTTCATTGTGAGTTTAACATGTACCATCCTGCGAGACTAAGGTTCCATATGACTTGAATTCCAGATCAAAGAATGTTCTAGACTCCAGCCTTCTTGGGAGGCCTCAATGTTCTTGGAGACTTCATCTCCTCCAGCAGTGTAGTCCTCCATAAGAACTTTCTGGAAATGTTACTATACGGTTCTAGAGTCTCCCAGCCTTTCTACAGATTGTAACTCTCGAACAGTATTGCGTTTCTTTCTTTTGCTCTCCCTGGTAGGGGGATAGAACCCAAGGCCTCACACACACTAGGAAATGACCTAAGTGATTTACCACTAAACGGTATCCCGGATCTGTGCTGCATTCTTAAAACAGTCCAACTTGTATGATCTCCCTTCAAGAGTCTGGACATTTTAAAGACCAGTAGAATTCTGCAGTTCATGCTGCTCGGTCCTCCAGGGACTAGTAACATAAACCCTGCAGCTAGCAGCCTTCTGACCAGCCCACCTGGACACAGCTCAGCCTTTGGGGCCTCCACCCCACCACTCAGGCTCATGGCCTTACTTGGTACAGTTCCACGTGCTGTTCCACATTTAACTTGAGTCTCTGCATTCGCAGCTCTGCCCGAGACAGCAACAGAGGGTCAGGCACAGCTTCCCGGAGCTCTGACGTGTTGAAGAACATATATATACTGTGTGCGACAGTCTCAATGCTTTTATAGATATCTAGTTGGGAAGAGTAGAAAGAGAGGATATCAGAGATTTTTCAAGGGCCTAGGGAGCAGGTCTAGGTGAGTGGGCTCTGGTGCTGAGAACCATGGCTTGGCGTTCCACTCTGATGCTCTTTAGCTCTGAGAGCCCTCTAGGTTTGCTTCCTCCTCCTCTAGCACCAGTCATACCACCCTCTCTCCCAGGAAGCACCTCTGCACCTCTGATGGAGTATACATCTAGCAAGCAGCTGTCCCCCAAGGGAGCTGCTCTGTTTGCTCAAGCTTTCCTTGAGCTTAAGACTTGGAGCCTGAAATGCAAATTTAAAACGGGCTTCTGTTGCATCTCGGCTATGTGACCTTGGTCAGTTCACACCCTTTCTCTGTACCTCAGTTTCCTGTTATTCTTTGAAAAACAGCAGTAACATCAAGCTGCTTGATCCAACCCAGGCTTTCCAAACTGAAAACACTGGTAATCTGTAGCAAGTGAATTCCTCTGTCTGAGTCAGAGCTTTAGCTGTAAAATACTTCCCAATGCCAGGATTACAGGAACAAATGATGAGAGTCAGGATGCACAAAAACCTTGTGATACCATCCCACACACACCAGTTTCTGTTAAAGGGCGCCAGGCTCTGTTAGGGTCTCTGGTTTTTTGGTTTTTTTTTTCATTTTTGTTTTTTTTGTTTGTTTGTTTTGTTTTTGTCTTTTTCCTTTTTATCGGTACCAGGGATAGAACTCACAACCGCCTGCTTGCAAGGCAGGTGCTTATGCAGCTGAGCTAAATCCCCAGCCCCTAGGGTCTCTGTTTTTTTATTCTTTTTTTTTTTTTTTTTCCATTTTTATCAGTACCGAGGATCGAACTCACCACCGCCAGCTTGCAAGGCAGGTGCTTATGCCGCTGAGCTAAATCCCCAGCTAGGGTCTCTGTTTTAAAGAGTGTCATTTGCCAGACCCTATTCAAAACACTTTACAAAGATGAAAACACTGAAACCTCCCAAAGCCAGGAGGAAGATACTAAAGTATATCCATTTAATAGATGGAGAAACTAATTTGCCCCATGTTTGTATAGCTCGGAAGTGGCAGAATGGGGTTAAGTAGTCTCATTCTAGAGACTGTTCTTAACAACTAAACTATGCTACCTTCTTGTCAGTGTGATGTTATTATGATGATCATTATTAACTGCTTCCTACCTTAACTCCCTTCCCCAGCTAGTTAGAGAAGGTTAAGTCGGTTTCAGGTCAAAATGACTGCGGGGACAGTGGGGTTAAGAAGAGTTGTGTAGCCTAGGCAAAGCTTGCAGCTGGGAATAAAGGGGGAAAGGCTGTGAACTCCGAGATCACCTGGAACAATTCCTTTGGGGAGCCACGGTAAAGATGGTGCAGAGACTCTGATGAAGGAAAGAGGAAGCCCCTACCTGCAGTTCATAACCCCCAGCTCCCCCAACCCCAAACCCTGTTCTTGGCCCATCCCTCGCTCAACCCCAAGTGAAAAGCAGTGCCTCGGACAAGAGTCACAGACAGGGAAGAGGAAGGACTGAGATATGGGAGCAGGGTGTGGAGAAGAAAAAGGGAGACAGAAGAAAGAGATGGGAGAGACAAACACTAGGTGATGTATACACGGACACAGAGTGAGGCGAGGGAGATGCAGAAGAGAAAGAAAAGCAGAGAGAGAAGGAAAAGATGGGAGGTGAGGCACATGGAAGATGAGACACACGAGAGGTTGGGGAGAAATTAAAAAGTCTCTGGAGCGGAAACAAAAAATAAGGCCTTTTTTTCCTTCTGCAAAAAGAAAGCCGCACTGAGAAGCGGTGGGGAGGGGGCATTATTTGGCCAAGCCACAAAACAGGGTGCAGGAATGGGCGAAAAGCCCAAAACCCAGAGCTCAAGGTTCCAAGCTCTGCAAGATGCCTGGGTCCTGCCTGGGCCCTCGCGTGGGCGCAGACGGGGCGGGCCCAGGAGGAGCCCCGCCTGTTGCTGGGGTGAGAAGGGCGGGAGGCAACGCAGCCGCGAGGGCGGGGACCAGACCTGCCTTGTCTCGCCCCAGGCTCCGCGCGCGATCCCCGCCCCCCCTCCGGGGGGCAAGAGAAGGGAAGGGAAGGGAAGAGGGCGCGGCCGCCGGACGCTGGGGTTTCCCCAGCTTCCCCTAGAGGAACTGGGACTTCAAGGTCCTGACTGCCAGCTTTCAACTCTACCGGGTCCTCCTGACCCCTCTGGAAGCCCAGCCTCCCCCACTTTCTCCAGCGCACGACACCCACGTGGAGCTTTCTCACCGCTACTGGCTCGGTTTTCTCACCTCGCTCTTACAGTATCGCCCCGCGCCCATGGCACGATTATTCACTCAACTCACTTCTACCTCATGCCGCGGCGAGCGTCTGTCGCGGGTCTACCTTTCCCACGCCTGTGTCTCTCCTTTCTGAAACTCCGTGTCGTGACCCAGTATTCTAGATTTTCCAGGGCTCGCTTCCTCTGCGGAACTCCGCGCTATCTCTCGCCCCACGCCGTCTCCCGCGCGTCCTGGCACTCGGACACCCTCTCCGGCCGGGTCTGCGCTCCTCTCCCGCTAGCCTCCTCCTCCCAACCACCTCGCCTCCCTTTCCCCGGCATTTAGCATGCCAACCCCATAGTCACTCTCCCCACGAACCGAACTCTCCCCTATCCCGCGCGGTCCCGGCGCGCTCTGGAAGTGAGTCCTCCTCACTTGGCCTGGCACTTCGGAGGTTCGCTTCACCTAGTTTTTCTAACCTCGAAACTCCGCCTCAGGACCCCCGAGCTCTGGGTCAGCTTTCCCATTGCCTCTCCTTTCCCAAACGCTGGGGTCTTCGTTTTTCCCAAACCAGCTTCCCTCTCTGAAAAAGAGATCCCCGCATTCTAGCGCGGCCTGAAGGAGGGAGCCTTTTTCTATTCGCCCTCCCACATTGCTTCTGTCCTTCTAGGGGACTCTTCCCACGATCCCACATGCCCTGCTGCCTTCTCCCCGCAGTCCACTTTACTCGCTACTCCTCTTCTAAGACCCGACAGCTGGAGGGGAATTAGATTCCCCGACAACGTCTTTAGGACGCCACTCTTCCAACACACGCTCCCGGAGCCCCCGAGGGTCCCCTTCCTCCTGCCAGTTTCCTTTGCCGGTAATTTCCTGCCCGTGACCCCTGCACTCCGGCGCCCCCTGGGGGCCCCCTCCCGGTTCCCCGGCCCCTTCGAGCTCACTGTGGCTGTTGTCCACCATTAACACGCGGGTCACCTCCTTGGCATAGTAGTCCGGCTCGGGTTCGGGCTCTGGCTCGGCGCTCTCCCCGGCCACCCGGTCGCGGGTGCTGTTGTACAGGGCGAGCACGGCTTCGGGCAGCGGGCCGGGCGGTACATCCCCCTGGCTCGGGGGGCTGGCGAGCCGTAATTTGGACAGGATCTGACCGCGGATGGCCTCGATGCGCTTCCGCTTCACCAGCTCCATATCGATGGTCTTGCAGGTGGACAGTCCCGAGGCTGGCCGGCCAGGTGCCAGCACCAGTAGCCACAGTAACGGTAGCAGGAGCGGCAGGAGCCGCAGCCGAGAGGGAGGCATGGGTGAGGCAGCGACCCCCGGCACCGCCGAGAGCGCGAACGGGGCAGAGGTGGGATGGGGAGGCCCCGCCCCTGCAGGGGCTGGGGGTCTCCCGGGGAAAGGTAGGAGTGTCTCGGGGAAAACTGAGTCCTTCGGGGAGAACGAAGCAGGAGTCTTTAGGAGGCTCGGTCACGGAGTGTCTCAATATCCCACGGAAAAAATCGAGGTGAGCGAGATCTGATACCAGAAGGTGGGTGGTCTTGAACAGGGGAGCTGTGGCAGGTCTAATCCGTCGCCCGGAGAAGAGAGGGTCCTAGGTTGCGCGGGGACTGGAGAGAAGGGTGGGGGAGAGGGCGGCGTGCAGGGGGGTGCGCCCCGGGTCTGGGGTGAAGACTTCGCGGGAGGCGGGGTTTGCTGCTCCTGAGCGCTGGTCCGGAATGGGGACGCCCAGGGAACGCTGAGTCCCGGCGTAGCCTGCGTCCAAGGCGGTGAGGGGGGCAGTCTGGAGTCCGCAGGTCCTGCCTCCTCGAGGGGCAGCGCTGCGCCAAGCGGTCCCCGCGACTCCGGCTCTCAGCAGCAGCGGAAAAGTCTCAAAACTTTTTTTCCTCTTCTCCCAACCAGCTCGTCCCTCCTCCCGCTCCTCCTCCCCTCCTCCCCGCAGTGGCGGCGGCGGCGGCGGCTAGTCTCAGACTCTGGGGCCTCGGGCTGCCTCGAGGCTCCCTCCTCCGCTCCAGGAGGAGGCCGGCCCCGCGGGCGGCTCAGAGCCGGGGGTGCCCCAGAGGGGGCGTCCCCCTGCCCCGGCCGGGGGCCTCGCGGTCCGGTGGATCTGCGGCGGGAAGAAGGAGGGGGACGGCCAGGGGCGCGAAGGGTGGCGGCGGGGAGCGGCTGGGCGGCGCGGGGGTTTTGAAGCTGCCCGGCCCCACCCAGGAAGCGCGCGGGGCGGGGGCAGCCCCAGGGGGAGGGTATGGGGGGGCCACGGTCCTCATCTTGCGTGGGCGGGCTCCGAGGGGGGTCCCTTCAGCCATGCGGGGAGGGGGCCGGCACCCCGGCTCCGCCCCGCGGACAGGGTGCTGCCTCCTGGCGGCAGAGCGCTACCAAAACGGGTGACAGAGATGGATAGGGGCTTTGGAGTCTGGTGTGGGGTCACTGAGAAAATGAGGATCTAGCAGGGAGGGCAACGTCCAAGAATGGGACAGGTGAGAAGAGTCTCAGAGGGGAGTGAGGGGATGGGGCAAAGGGACTGACAAAAGATGGGACCCTGAGTAAGCAAGGTGTCAGTCAGGAAGGTGCCACACTTGTAAGAATTACTCACTTTTATTAAGCACCTCCCATGTGCTAAACAGCATTTCCCTCTCAAACCCTGTGACCCACACTTATTACCCCACGTGATGCATGGGGAACTGGGACTGCACAGGCAGTGCTGAGCTTGAGGTCCTTTGCAAGGACTGACATAGGGCCATGCCTGCCTGGGGTCTGTCTCCAGGGCCCATGACCTTGACTGCTGTGCCATCCAGCCTTCAGCTCATGGCCAGGGCTGTGGATGAGAGCCAACTGTTGGAAGCAGGATCTCTCAGCATTCTACACCATAGCGGTCAAAGTGACGCAGCAGCAGGCCAAGCTCAAGGCGCACAGTGCCACCAGCCGCTGTGTGCAGGCGGTATCGGTCGGCCCCACTGTAGATGGTGTCTGCATGCAGCAGCTGCGGACCACCACCCACAAAGGCCCTGGCCAGCTGCTCCCGCCAGCTGCCCAGTGGCCGCCATGTGGGACAGTCCAGCTGGTGGGTGCCAGGGCTGCTGGGCACGTGGCAAAAGCCATAGCCGGCAAGCTGGCAGCGGCCAAAGCTGTCCTGGGACCACACCTGGAGATGGAGCCGGGGCCAACCTGCAGGACAGGACAGAGAAGAAAGGAGAGATAGTGGGACCTCCTGCTTCTGGGTCCCCACCTCCTTGCGCCCCACTGGAGACCTCAGCTTGGTTCTTTTCCCTGGGATTTCTGCCCCAGCCTCCACTGGGGCTCCCATCCCAGCAACAAAGGGCATTTTCTATGTCCATTATTCTGCCCTGCTCAGAAGCTGTCCGTGCTCTCAGTATGAAGTCCAACCTCCTGATAATGGAAGCCCTGTGTCTGGCGTCTGCTGACTTCCTGCTCTGGTCTGCTTCTCAGTGTTCCTGCCAGGGAAGCCTGTCACTCCTCTAGTTTCCAGATCAGCACCTGGGCCCTGTCCTGTATACCATCTGCCCTCCCTCATGACCCTGCCTTGTCCTCCTAGGGCTCAGGGCCTTTCTTCTTCTCCTGTCTCACCTACCTCCACCTGGCAGCCAGAAGCTCCCCCCGCCCCCCAGTACTGAGGATGGAACCCAGGGCCTTCACGTGGAGCCACATCCCAGGCCTTTTCTATGTTTTATTTTGAAATGGGATCTCACCCAGTTGCTCAGGTTAGGTTCAAACTTGTGATCTTCCTGACTCAGCCTTCCAGAGTCCTGGGATTACAGATATGCGCCACCATGCCTGCCTCAAAAGCCTCTTTTCTCCCCTTCCGTAGGTCTGCCAATGTCCTCAGAATGTGCGTCAGCTCACCCTCTATTCTGAGCCCCTCCTTTTGTGCTAGGCTCTGTTCTAGGACCTAGGGACATAGTGGTGAAGACAGCAGACAAAAATTCCTGCCCTGTGAGGCTGACATCCTAGACAACGAACATAGTAAATAGGCAAATTATAGGTTATGTCAGATGGTGATAACTGCTCTGCAGAAAATAAAGCTGGGTAGGTTGGGGGTGGGGGTGTGGTTTGGGAAAGGAGGGGATCAAGAAAGCTTCAGTAAGAAGGTGACTTTTTTTCTTTTAATATGACTGAGTTTAAGAAGGTGACTTTTAAACAAATACTTAAAGGAGGGAAGGAAATGGGCTGTGGGGGCACCTAGGGGAAGAGAAATCCAAGTCAAAAGTGCAAAGGGCCTGAGGTAGACATGAACCTGGCTGGATCAGAGAAAGAGAAAGAGCAGAAGTAACACCAGCACTCAGGAGGCTGAGACAAGATCACTGCCAGTTTGAAGCCAGCCTGCACTACATAGTGAGACTTTGTCTCAAAAAACAAAGCAAAACAACAAACAGATTGTACAAGGACCTGTGATACATAGTAATTCTGTCTTTTATCCTGAATGAGATGGGAATCACTGAAAGGTTCTGAGCAGAGGAAAGATGTATCCCAACTTAGGTGGCCCCCAGGTCCTACCTACAGGTCACAGGTCCTAGGGACTAGGGCTAGAGGCACAGTCATGATGCTACTGAATAATCCAGGAAAGACAGAAAGGACAGATCAGGTCCTGGGCAGAGAGGGGTGAGAAGAAGTTAGGATAAATTTCATATGGAGAGCAGCAGGTGTGGTACAACACCTGCAACCCCAATGCTCAGGAGACTGAGGCAGGAAGATTTCCATGAGTTTGAGGCCAACCTGGGCTACATAGTGAGTTCGAGGCCACTCTGAACTACACAGCGAGACCTTGTCTCAAAAACAAACCAACCCCCCCCCCAGGATTTCCGCGTGGATACAGAATGGGGGAGGGCAAGAACCAAGGAGGCAGGGATGGTACCAGTACCAGAGGCTGGGGACCTGACAAGCAGTAAGGACAGTTCTCTGCCTCACTCTCTGATCCATCATCACACATGGCAGCCACAAAGAGCTTTGAAAGTGAATCGGACTGATCCATTGCCTGATGTGGCTCCCAGGGCCTCAGGAGATGGCAGTCAAGGCCCCACACAGCCTGTCCTCTGCCATCCTAAACCCTGCCATCCTTCTCTCCTCCCACAGACCGCTAAATGTCTGGGATCACTCTCCTTTATAGCCTTCCACACACTAAGAACCGCACCTGGACCCCTCTCTGGCCTTTGGTCTTCTTAGCTCATCTTGGCACCTCGTGGAGGTGAAGTTCATTCTGTCCTCCCAGAGGAGGCCTCCCCATCTCTGGACAGGCTCAGACACCTCCTTTGGGCTCCCATGGCCTCCACAGGACCCTCACCCCCACCAGACCTGTCCACTCTGGACTGGCCCCAGCTGGAGACAGGTCTGTTGCCGCTAGCAGATGGAGCCCTTGAAGAGATGGGGGAAGGGGCCTGCTGGGCAGGCAACCAGTAAACAGTCCTGACACTGCTGAAACACACTGCACCTCTACCCAGGCCACTTCCTGGAATCTGCCAGAACTGATACCCAGCCTCCCCCAATGCTCACTTCCCTTTTCAGCAGCCTCAGCCTTCTAGCTAGGAGCCTTTCCTGAGGGATAGCAACCAGCCCTTGCCCTCACCCTCTTCCCCTACCATTCCTCCTCAACCTTCATCAGCCCTCTCCCAGCTTCCTCTTCAGTGGAGACCCTTTCTTGAAGGCCATGTCCCACCCCATCCCGACCCTGACCCACCACCTCCCACCCCTGGCCCCTACGGATCTCACTCCTGTCACACAGGCCCCAGCTCCCCTCTCCAGGGCAGGCTCGGCTAGAAAGACCCACAAGGTACGGGGAATAGGACAAGATGGGGTGTTTCCAGCCCCAGCTGCTCTGGGTGTTACTATACCCCATCTTCTCAGCCTGGCCCCCAGGCCAGGCCTGGTACCCACCTTGGAGACCTTTGGTAGCGAAGTGCAGGTCAATGGGGTGGCACCAGTAGGCCATGTCCCCTACCTGGGGAGTGTCCACCTGTGTCTGGCCCTCCCGGACACCTGACAGGAGCTTCCATGCTGCCCCTGTAATGAGGACAGAGGGGTGGGAGGTGTCTTTAGGAAGGCGAGGCTCCGGGCCTGCTTCTCTCCAGCATTTCGAGATGGGAGTGAGGGTTACAAAGGATAGGCTCTAGAGCCAAATGTCTGGGTTCAAATGCTGTCACTTTCTCTGCCAGGGCAAACTGTGCATGCTACACATGTTCTACACCTGAACTATATCCCTAGTTCCAGGAACATTTTACTATTATTCTCATCCTATATTTAGAGGCCCATCTCAGGACTCTGAAGAAGCCAAGGCTACCCTCCAGGAGCACATCCTGGAAACAGGTCTTCTTTTTTTTAATCATGGTCTTGCTGAGTAGCCCAGAACTCATGAGTGGGCCTCCTGCCTCAGCCTCCCAAGTGCTAGGAGCACCACGCCCAGCAAAAATAGGTCTTAATAGTGACCCTACTAAAGAGTTATAAAATATGAAACACACTGAGTGCCTACGAAATGTCAAATGATATGTTAAGCACTTTAAATAATGCATTCATTAATCTTTCCCCCAGGACTCTTAATTCCCACACCACTCCCCAGTTTACAGGCCCACAAGGGCCTGCATAACCTGGCTTATGCCCACCTCTGAACTCATTTCCCACCACTCTTCCCCTCCCTCAATACCCTGAAGCCTCACTGGCCCTATTCATGTTCCAGTACCTCAGGACCTTTGCACTGGCTACTCCTGGAATTTTTAAGCCTTTAGGGCTCAGCTCAAGTACCACTCTCTGGGAGTGGGGGTGGGGTCCTCTCTGACCCTCTTACTCTAAGACTAGTCCTCATACAATCCCATATGTTTTCTTCCTAATATAATGATCTGTAATCATCGTGCTTGTTTCTTTATCTGTTCCCCCCCCACACACACACACCCCATCTCTCTTCTACTCTGAACTCCAAAGAGGGGGCAGCATCTGCCCAGGGTCACGTGGCACATGAGTGGCAGCATTCAGACTGAAAACCAAGCCAGACTCCAGAGCCTGCCTTTTGCTCACTCAACTGAAGGATTTCAATTTCCCAGGGAAATCAAGTGCTACCTCACTTTCCAGTAAAATCAGAAAGGACCCAGGTCTGACAGGATGATAATGGCAATAAACACACCTGTTTCATGGACATTTATCTTTTGGGGGGGGGGTTTATTTATTTATTTATTGGTACCAGGGATTGAACTCATGACCTTGTGCTTGCTAGGCAGGTGCTTGTGCCACTGAGCTAAACGCCCAGCCCTATGGACATTTATCTGTGATAGAAAACAACACACACAGGGCTTTACAGTCAAGACCCCATCAAAGCCTCTTGTGAACTAGGCAAACACTTACTGAGGACTCTAGTCCAGGCCATAGTTTAGTGTTGCTGATAATCATCTAGTCTTGACAATAATCACACAAAGTAAGCACTCTTATTCTTCCCACTGTATAGACAAGGAAATCAAGGCAAACAGAACTGTCTGAGGTCACATATAAAGAAGCAACAACTGATTTTCAATACAGGAAATCTGTGGTCTTAACCTCAAGCCTGTGCCACCTTTCAGCTGCTATCATTTTCAGTCAAGAAAACTGAAACTCCAAGAGGTCAAGTCCAAAGCTTCTCAATTAACAGGTGGGGAAGTTAATATCTGAACCCAGACCTGGCAGCCTAGGGCCCTCCCCATTACGTTATCCACTATACACAGAGCCTAAGAAGGGAGGCTTGGGAAATGGAGCGTCCAAGGTCCCTCCTGGGCTGTGTGAACAGACTTGGATGACTGCTATAATGGAGTACACAGAGAATTATGAATAACAGTGTCTTCTCCTCCGCAAACCTGGGATGGAAGCTTTTTACTCTGCAGTAAGGATTTAATAAATGGAGACTGTTAATCAAAGAATTGAGATAGGGGAGGGCCCTAGAGGACACTGCTAGGACTGTGGGTACAAATGAAACAGAGTTTGGGCTATTGTTTAAGGACTAGAAGTATGGGGTGGGGGAAATTAGTCTACAGTCCCACATCCTTAGGAGCTGTCGGTGTGGAGGGTAGTAGCCAGAGCTGCCAGAAGCAGGATGGAAAAAAGATAAGAAGGGAGACAGAGATCTGTGATCTGGCCAAGGAGCCCTGACAGCCAAGGGAAAGTGATGATCAGGGACAGAGTCAGGGAGTCAAGAAAGGGGTGTGGAGCCCTAGGCTAGGGCAGCTGCTGTCAAGCTCGGGAGATGAACCAGGCCTGGAGAATACCTGTGTGGATACCCCACTTGCAGAAGAGGCTACTTTCAGAGAAACCGGTGGCCCCTATGATCTGCCCGATCACGTGCGCCTCAGCCATGGTCCTGGGAAGGGAAAAATATAAACTCAGGTCTAGGAGGTAAGTATATTACTATTTCCATCTGGAAGATGGGTAAACTGAGGTCCATCGTGTAAAATGCAGTACTAAGGATTCCAAGCTAGTTTCGTCAGCCCACTGACGCTGCGGTCTGAACCACAAAACCTAACTGCCTCCCAGGAAAGCAGGGGAGAAAAGGGGGAGGGAACCCTGGGCTAGGGAGCTGGCGCCCAATTGTGCCCCGCCTAAAATAAATCAACCCAGCAATCCAGGGAAAGCCCCGCCCCAGGGCACTATGGCTCCGCCCACAGCGCAAGGTCCCGCCCCCTCGCGTCAGGCCGGCTCCCAAACTCCAAAAATGCCTGCGTCTCAAAGGCAGGGCCGATTTAGCCCCGCCTCTAAGAGCAGCGCATGCGTCATTCCTACCTCAGTTCGTTTAACCGTTAGAAGAGACGGAAACGGCTGTGGGATTGTAGTTCATAGGCCTAATCTGTCCTCTCCACGGGGGTCGGCCAGGCCTCGCTCACGCCTCTCCTACGACCTTTGTGGCAGCGAGTGATTTAAGGTGCGATACTACGCTACTGCGCTCCTCTTGAGTTCTCTTGGTTGTTGCTGGGGCAACAGCAGGCTCCTCCTCTGACTTTAATCCCCGCCCTACGCGCTGGTTATTGGTGTCAGATGCCTTTGGGGGCGGGACGAAGCTATAATGGACATCTTTCTCTCCCTCTCGCGTTCCATTTTGGAAAAAGAGTGTTTCCTTCACCCAATGTTGAGCCACTGGGGCATGGCTGGGCAGCTCCATTTTGATTGTGGCTAAGGAATCAGACCGTTTTCTCCCAGATACCGTGTACCTGAAGTAAATATTTTGTTGTTGTTCTGTACTCACACTTTGCTTACTAAAAAACGAAACAGAGCGCTCCCGACTAGGACCACAACTCAGAACTGAGCCAGAACCAAGAGGAGAGAAATCTCTTATACACAGACCGGAGGAGTTGGGGAGTGGGTTTTTCTTCCGTTTGGAGCCTGTTTGGACTTCCAAACGATCTGTTTAATCCAGCTTCTTTTTCATCTACTGCTAAATCCAGTTAGCGCCGACTCTGAGCAGCAGGGATGAGGCGAGGATGAGACGTGAAGAACGGGGTTCTTTTGCAGAAGATACTGTTTGCTGCGGGACTGGAGCTGGAACCAAGAGCCTATGCTAGTCAAGCTAGTCAAGCGCTGCCCCACTGAACTACATCCCCAGCCCTGAGAGACCAGTTCCATGTCTAGGCGCTGCCAGTAATCTGTACCATGACCTTGCTGGGCTCTAAGTCTGTTATTTTATCCATGAATGGGCACACGTGCATTTAAATACTCAGTCTGAATTCTGAAACTGTGTTTCTCACCCTCCAAATCCAGCTAAACGCTGCTCCTTTATTCCTCCAGCCCAGACCAGGAAAGCAAGAACTGTTTGGTTCGGTTCGGTTCGGTTTTTGAGACTAGGTCTCCCTCTGTAGCCCAGGGTGGCCTTGAACTCACGGTGATCCTCCTACCTCAGGGTCCCAAGTGCTGGAATTACAGACATGTGCCACCATGCCCAGCAGCACAGCAAGAATTTATTTACTTGTTTTTAGCAAAAATAAAACCGTCACCACAACAACATAAAGCAAAGAGTGCAAACGTTTACATTAGTGATGGTTCATACCTGTAGTAGTCCTAGCACTCTGAAAGCCTGAGACAACATTGCAAATTCAAGCAAAACCTGGTTAAATTAGCAACTTGGTGAGACCCTGGCTCAAAATACATCCATACATAAATGCATATTTTTTGTTTATTTTTTTGAGACAGAGTCTTGCTACGGATTTCAGGCTGGCCTTGAATTCACTAGGTAGCCCAGGCTGACCTCGATCTCACAGTGAACCTCCCACCTCTGCCTCTTCTCAGGTGCTGGGATCCCAAGCGTGCACTACCATGCCTAGTCATTCATATTTTTAAAAGGGCCGAGAATGTTGCTCAGTGCACAGGGTTGGAGTTGACAACACATTGTTGGAAAGGACAACATATTAATATGATAACATTTACGTAAGTCAAATAATTAGGTAGAATAAGCAAACTTAAAACCTACTTTTTCTTTTGGTATTGGTAATTTGAACCTGGGATAGGATAAATGCTACTTAAGCACTCCATCATTGGATTACATCCTCCACCCTTTTTTATTTTTATTTATTTATTTATTTTGTCTTTTTCGTTTTTATCGGTACAGGGATCGAACTCATGACTGCCTGCTTGCAAGGCAGGCGCTTATGCCGCTGAGCTAAATCCCCAGCCCCCACTTTTAAAAAAGGTTTTTTTTTTTTACCGGTATCAGGGATCAAACTCACAACTGTGGACTTGCAAGGTAGGCACTTATGCCACTGAGCTAAATCCCCAGCCCATTAAATAAGGTTTCTTTTTCTCTCTTTGTTTTTTCTCTATTTTCCTCTCTTCCCTTCCTCTATTCTCTTTTCCCCAGTACTGAGCATTGACCCCAGGATCTTCACTCTGAGCTACATTCTCCACTGCCACCACCCCTTTTTATTTGAGAAAAAGCCTACCTAAGACACTAAATTGCTTATGTTAGCTTTGAATTTGTAGTCCCCTTGCAGCCTCCCAGTGTGCTAGGATTACAGGTGTGAGACACCACACCTGGCTCTAGTCAACATTTGGACTGCATTTTCATGACAGAGGTAAAAGGATTGAAAATTAAAGGCCATCCTGGGTAACTTAGTGAGACCCTGTCTTGCCAGGAGCTGATCAGATCCCCAGATACCAGAGGGGGAAATGGTGGAAGACAAAAAACAAAATCTAAGGTACAAGAGGTACCGGAAAGAACTTGTCTCTAGTGGACAAGCACAACAATCTCAAGGCTGACCTGCTTTCATTAGCAAGCAAGAATCACAAGGGCGGGGGCCTCACACATTTAATGGAACAGTAATTGTGGAAAATGGGTACATAAAAAATAAATTAATGAGGAACCAGATTTTCTTTACACCTAGATGCCTGTATTTTGACAGCTGTCCTCAGAAGATACTATCTTGCTTCAGAAATGCTGGGTTATCAGCATTATTTCCATAACCAGGCGGTCTTTGGCCTTCCATACACCTCCTTGTCCTGGGGAGACATAACACCAAACTCCAGACTTCGGGGTTTAAGTCATGTAGTTGGCTCCCCCCGCATAATCTATCACACAGCCTGGTCCCCAGCAATGCCCCATTTTTGTTTTAGTTTTTTAAATGCAGTCATTGAAACTGCATGACGCAAGATGGAATAGCATCTAGTTGTCTGGTTTGGATTTTCCTGTGGCAAAATATAAGACAGAAACATTAATATATCAAACTAGTGTGAAATCTAAAATAGACCTTAAAATAGTTTGTTCCGTGGATTAAGCTGATCAAGAGTATCAATTAATTTATCCCAATCTTGAATTTATCAAAATTTTGAGTCTATTAAGACATAAATAATACCGATTTTCACAATGCTCTAAATCAATACCTATATTATTATGCACAGCACCCTATATGTGCCTTTTTCTATGTTCCTAAGGACAAGTAGATTGGTTATACGTAAGAGGAGTTGTATAATACCAAGTAATACTGAAATGACACCCAGGGCCCTGTTGTAACTGCAGACTTTCTACTTGCTCTCTCATCTATATAACAGTGGTCTCTAAAATGCTGATTTGTGACTGCGATTTTGCATCATAGAATGTTATTTATTTCAGGCCTTATCTGTAGTTTTGGTCCAACTATCTACAAAATGAGCAGTCTGTATAGAATGAATGAGAGCTACAGAATATACAACACTAGAAATTGATCATACCAAAGAGACAATTTCTGTAATAATAAGTCCTAACATCCTTTTTGTTTGGTGCACCAAGTGATCAGTCAGTGATAACAGGAGTGTTGGTCCATGGCTTCATGGCATTCATGGGCACCCAGACCCCAGGCATATGCCTCAAGACTAGTAAAGTCTTGTTTCCTAAAGTGTCATTTGATGCACAGTGGCTCCATGTACATTTTCTACATGTAAATGAGGTAAGATTTCATTCAACAGTCCCATATACAAAAAAAGCAAGGATTGTATGCACATATGGACAACTGTGTGATTTTGTTTTTCCAAATTTGGATAATGGAGATATTATCAGTAAATTTGTATAAATGTCTCTTCCAGTTTTCACTAACTGATACCTGGTAATAGACAAGGGCCAGTTTCAAAATATCCTCTAAAGGGGTCCAATTGTGCCATTACTGAAAGCCTGTGGCAATGTAGGGGCTGGAGTTGTACCCATACTCATAAGTGAAATTATCAGACTGACATGTGTAAACATCTTATTGGCATCCTGCTGTCAGAATCAAGAAGAGTAAGTAAAGCCCAAAATGGACAATAGATATTGTGAAATGATAAGAAACTGCTCAAAAGGAAAGAGAAACAAGGGTGGGAGAAAGGAAGAAAGGGAAAAGGAATATAAGATAGTTAAAATAGTTATATCACTAGTTTCCCTAAGTTCAATAAAAAGAAAATTTTGTGCTAATATCTTTTGGGCTATTTTTCATACCTATATCTTGTACTCTGAGTACTTTGAAGATAGTAATATGCAATGTATTAACTATTAATACTCTCTTATTTATTTTGTTTTGAAATTTTGTTTTGTTATTTTGTTTAAATAAAAAAAAAATTGTCACCCTTATATTTTATGCCTTGTCTTTGGCAATTGCTTTGGCTTTCTGTCCTTTACGCATTGTCTTTTGTTAAAATGATAATAAATAAGTTGAGAACATAGGAAGGTTATGATGCTTCTTTAATTGGACATTTTATTCCTGTTTTGTGTATTTGCATTCAGAGTATTTGCTGAATTTACTCGTTCCTTGCTTCACTCGTTGACAACAGGGTAGGCCAACATAGGGTTAGAGCACCCCCTAGTGGACTTTGACATGAAATGTAGTAAAATGTGTCTTTTTAAATTTAATTCAGGCTTTTACAGGGACCTTAGAGAACTTCCACAAGCAGTGATCACTCTAGCAACTAGTTAAATGCTCCTACAGCAGCTACCATTCTTAAAGCTGCGAGGATAGGTTTCTCCACCACTTTCTGGTGAATCTCCATTGAAGCCAACTGTCAATGAAATGTTGGCCAGAGAAGCAGCTGGATTAATTTTCAGAGACCAAACTCTGGTTGTGTGGACTATGGAAACTGAGAGGATAACTGAGGGTTTGTGGCCAGGGCTACTCTCTGGAGGATACCCAAAGGTTCCCCAGTGGAAGCACAGTCCTGACAGCCCAACTGGGTAATCAGCAGAGAAATCCCCATTCATCTATTGTCCCCACCTGTACTCCTCAGTGAGGGGAGAGGTAACTCTTTCAGCCATCTTTGGTAACCTCTGTCTCAGAGTGACCAGAGATGATGCTGTTAGAACCCTTCTTATTTTTTTTATTTTTTATTTTTTTTGTCTTTTTCATTTTTATCGGTACCGGGGATCGAACTCACGACCGCCTGCTTGCAAGGCAGGTGCTTATGCCGCTGAGCTAAACCCCCAGCCCCTAGAACCCTTCTTAAAGCCTCTGTTCACAGTTGAACTACAGTTCAGATTTTGCTCTGCTAGTATGTTAGAAACCCCAGTTTTTCTC